TATGAAGTACTCGTTTGAGGACATTGGGACTATATTACGTTATCCCCTTAACTGTCACCGTCCCACGTGGGACGTTTGCCCATATATATTTAGAACAATAATATCTTAGTAAAAATCTTAAGTAATATCGACAAACTAAATATCATTTGAAAGCTTACAATCTCTAGTTTTCATATTTGGTGGCTGTTTTTTAAAATAAATTACAGAATAGCAGTAATTTATCAATTTGCAACAAGAATATTTCATATTCATTAGGCGTGTTTAGGCCTTTATTTTGAAATAGAAAAAAAAACATGAAAAATCATGAAAGATTGGTAGAAACCTCAGTGTTATCTTTTGAACTCTTGGCATGAAAACAAACTAATTAAATGTTATGAGAAAAAAAGGTCTGAAAATTTTTAGAATATAAAGAAAAATATTATGAATTCTCGATTTGTGATGCGGCAGCGAGCTATAACGCACATATGTGCTCTTTTTATGTTTATTAGAGGTTGAAATCAAATCAAATACTGCCAAAACACCCATACTATTTCTGAATAGGATGTATACTTAATAAATTGTATGAAATTATGGAAAGACATGGTTCAGATCACTCAAAACATATGAAAATGGAGACACCCTTATATGGTCAGTAAGGAAGCTGGCTGTCCATCTAGTGAAAAAGTTTGGTACTACGCCCAAATAAAATCTTACTGAAAGCTCATTTTTTGAGATATCAACCTAAAATTTGGAACACAACTTGTTTAGATTTTTGGCTTTAATTTTCTAGCAGTTTTAGAGTAAAATATATTTTATAATATATATATTTTATATAAAATATAAATAATTATATTTTTACATTCTATATTTTCATAAACTCAAACTTATATAACTTTTTTTCTGTTTCACTTTCATAATTTATTTCACTTCTACAATAATCTGGCAAATGTCTTCTTAAAAACAAGACCAACCATATGTCTATATTCCAAAGCATTCTTGAATTACAACCATTTTACAACCACAAGTTTTTTTTTATTATTGCTAGTACTGTGTCCTCACACGAGGACATCATATGGTAAATCATAGACCCACTGTCCTCACATGAGGACATACTTTTCTGCAAAAACTACTTCCTGTACAAAAACAAATTTTAGTTATTATATTTATTAGGTCCTACTTATCCCAAATAGCTAGAACAATTATAAAATACACACCAGGCAAACTCTCGGGTCTCAGAAGGTTAATAAAATACAAAAACGCCAAAAATAAATATTTAAAAAATATCTATATATAAATACACTTATGGTATATTGCTTGTATGTTTCGAAGACACTCGTAATGAATTTGTAATGTACTTGTTACACAAATAAAGAACACTTTAATATCACTAATCAAGCATGTAATTTAATTAGTCCCTACACAGGCATACTTAAAGTATACTAAGTATACTTGAAGTTGTTCCAATTTAGCTAGTACACTAAATACACTTAAAGTTATGCTTTATTACAATTTAATTACATCTAAAATATACTTAGTACAAAATTAGGCTAGTTGTTTCAAAATAGCACACTTCAAGTTAACTAATCATTAACACACTTGAAGTATACTAAATTAGTCTGGCTGCAAGTATATTTAGCATATTTTTTCACTAGGGTTTAAACGATGTTCTATCGATAATAGGGGGTCCAAAGTCTGGCAAGAAAATATTCCTCACACCATTACAACACCAGCAGCAGCCTGAACCGATGATACAAGGCAGGATGGATCATCGCTCTTATGTTGTTTACGCCTAATTCTGACCCTACCATCTGAATGTTGCAGCAGAAATCGAGACTCGAGACCAGGCAACGTTTTTCCAATCTTCTATTGTCCAATTTTGGTGAGCCCGTGTGAATTGTATGCTCCGTTTCCTGCTCTCAGCTGACAGGAGTGTCACCCGGTGTGTCTTCTGCTGCTGTAGCCCGTCTGCTTCAAGGTTCGACATGTTGTACATTCAGAGATGCTCTTCTGCAGATCTTGGTTGTAACAAGTGGTTATTTGAGTTACTGTTGCCTTTCTTTCAGCTCAAACCTGTCTGGCCATTCTCCTCTGGCATCAGAGATTCATATTTTTGTTTTTAATTTATTAACTTTTTTTATTTCACAATTGGTGAGTTCGTAATATGATAGTATTGCAGGATGCTCTTACAATTTATTTTGTAGAATATACAAAGAACTTTTTATATTATGGATAGATTACGTGTCTCTGCTGTTTCTGACAACTTTCCTTTTAAAAAGGATTGGGATTTTAAAAAGTTGTGACGTGAGTGTTGGTTGAAATGGAAAGATTTATTAAACAAGTGTCTATAAAATTATCAAAATGCAGAATCTTTGTCTCAGAGGAAAGAGGCCTTTTGTGCTGCTGTGACATTAGGAGGCAATTCTAAGAAAGTTATTTGTATTATGTATATTTTAAACAGATAATAGAGCCGAGTAAAGGGTCGGTGGGGTTGGACGCCTTTGCACAGAACCAGCCTCTAACTGTCATACAGATGCAAATTAATCATGATGTTGAAAGGCAGGCCAGCTCATAACAGTGATGACCTCTGCCTTCAAGACCCCCTTGTGGAACTGTGATTAACAAGCCTGAGAGTGTCTTTGTGTGTCTATTTCCTCCATAGAGAGAGAGAGAGACAGTGAAAGAGAGAGATGGGGGGTGAAAAGAGGGCGAGACTGTATTGGAACGACATGCTGGCTCGTTAGTTTGGCACTGTGCATTTAATTTAAACACAATTAGGATACGGTGAGGCGGCCCGACGTCACACACTTGATCACACACTCGCATACTTGAAACTTATATTTTCATAATGCTCCCAGATGACAGAATTAGTCCCATTCACACAGAACACATTTTTACATTCCACACAGCACTGCTTTTCTGTTAGTCTCTAAATGTATGTTTCACTGTTGCACTTGCGTCAGAGGTGTGATACAGCGTTCTAAAAAGGTTCAAGTTCAACTTTTCAAAAAATGTCTGTAGACCTTGCGGTTTTCCCTTCCAGGCTACTCTTCATCTCGCTTTTTTTTAAACACAAAAATGGATTCTGTGCGAATGGCCCTATATTAAACAATCCCCCCCCCCCCCTTTTTTTGTTTGTTTTACATTTTATGAAGAAAATTTAAGTGGTTTATGGTTCTTGCATGTGAAAAAGTCACCATCATAATGCTAGGGTGTATAATGTGATTACTAAGGTGTTCATTAGGCCTGTGTTTTTAGAGCCTATTTACACCTGGTCACTTCATGCGTTTTCTCTAATCGGATAGCTATCCAATCGTGAATAGACCAGGTGTACATGCACTTCGAAACGCGTTTGAGACAGATTTAAATCCGATCACTCAAACCACTTTGGGAGATGGTCTGAGACGCATTCCAGACTGGACAATTGTCAACTTTACTCCTCCCAAAATGTTAAAAAATAAACGTGTGAGAGTGTGTTATAGGCTATGACATGTTATTATTGCATAATTTGACGGAGCTACTACTATACCCTCAAATAGCGTGTTATTTGAGGGGACCGACATTTGTAGTGGTGTATATACGAATAACGAGTGTACAACCGATGTACGCTCAACGGCTGTTCGAATTCGTTCACTCCTTTTCATTCACTCCTTCAAGTGAACAGTATTAGTGGACTAACGTAGGGAATAATGAGGGTTAAGGGGGCGATTTCGGATATCTTCAGCAAGCCGACATGCAAACTGCCGCAAATGAAACAAAGTCGCTGACGCTCAAAACACAATCATCTTCATTAAAAATAGTGAGACTATGCTTTTCCATTGCTTTTCTATGTAAACATGCACAAGACGCTTTGCGTTACTGTTTATAACCTTATATTAATTGGTCCAAGTCAATCCAGTTTTAGGTGATTTATGGTTAACACAGTTATACTGAATTGACTTTCATGGCCAAATTTTGATGGAATTTGGTTAACCCTTTTATATTTACTTTAGCCACTGTCACTATGGTTACAGGTGATATTTACGGCTATGATGAGAATAGAAATGGGGATTCACTTTATTGACTCCTTGACACAGACAGTATTCAAGCTGTTCCTGGCTGCTGACTGTTACAGGATATTTTGAGAGTCACACCTGCTAGTAAATACGGTTGTCAATTCCAAAACACTGTGAATATACCGTGTAAGTCTATTTAATTTATGTCTATTTTTAACTCTCTCTCTATATTTTTTTTAATCTTTCAACGGGTTTAAAGACAGTTCCAGACCCATGTTGACCTCAGAAGAAATTTCAAGTTTTCTTGAATTTTTAGACGGCTGTAGATATTTGATAAGATATATATGGCATAGTTTGAAAAATAATTTCTTTTTTCTTTATTGTGGCTGTTCCTATATGCCTTGAGGGCAAGTACAGTCTCATTTCAGTGATTCAGTGTGTCCCATCAGGAGTGAGCAGAACACTGCTTTAGAGCAGATCCTGGAGAACTCTGCAATCTTGGCTGCTTATGACTCTTTAATAAGTTGATGAATCACATTTCTGCTCTTCATAGCACTATTAGTTCTCATTCTGAAGGGTTTGATGGGTGCCACAGCATTCAGCACAGAGTTAGCCTGCAATATGAAGTTGTCTTGGAACACTTTGGAAAACAAAAAGGAAGCAGTTGTTTTGTTCTTTAAAAAAAAACTAATCACAAGAATAAATAACATTTTTAAAATATATTGAAATAGAAAACAGTTATTTAAAATTGTAATATTTCGCAATATTACTGTTTTTCACTGTATTTTTGATTAAATAAATGCAGACTTGGCGAGCAGAAGAGACTTAAAAAAAATCTTACCAACCCTAATTTTTTTAAAGGTATTGTATTTATTACATTTTTATTATCAATTGCATAAATGTTACGTTTTTGAGTTTCTTTTTAAATGATCAGTGGGTTTCTGCTTGGGATTTGTAAAAACATCTATTTTTTCTGTTATGTGAAATGTAATATTGTGTTTTGTTTTTTGTTGTTGTTTTTATACATAGAGGGTTTGTGTTCGACAGCCGGAATAATCTACAGATGCGAGGTCTTGTGGTGCTGCTAATGTCCAAAGCAGCCGGTCCAAGTCCCAGTACCAGCGACCCGATTCATGACAGTATGATCAGCGGCATCTACCCCAGGTAAAGAGATGCCTTTCTCTCTCAGGGCCATGGGGATCCTAACTGCTTCTAGCTTTGGCCATTAGTGAGAAATGATTGCTACCATACACAGCCTCAGAGAAAGTGAGAGAGGGAAGAAGACCAGGCAGAAAGATGTGTGATAGACAAGAGAAAAGTATATGCAGTTTGTTATGTATGGACATTTCTAGTTTTCAAGTTCATAGACTTGGTCACCATTTTTAACCCTAATAAACCTGCTGTATCATATCTATAGATACATTCGTTTCTAAGTCCTATAAACCTGTCGCACACAATTTTAAGATATTTCTAAAAATGTTCACCTTCAGATCGGGGTTTGTCTTTTCCCTGTGAAATCTTGATTTGTATAAAGTAAATGTAAGAATAACTTTTATATTGTTAGTAATACTTTAAGATGAAAATTTACTGGACTTAAAGCAACTTGGGTTTACTTGATTATCCAAACATATTTTTTTTGTGAAAAATCATGTTAATATAATGTATCAAATATGATAAAACAGGCTTTTGAAGAACATTTAAGTTGTACATCTTTGTCATCATTGTATTGCATTGCATTACATGCTTTGTAATTTTACATGCCCCACCCCGTAAAACTACAGAGCTTTGATCATAAAACTAAGAACTGAAATATTATCTCTTACAAAGGCATATTATTGGAAGAGACAGAGCGACAACTGATATTTATATGCATTTGATGTAAGTAGTCTGCTATACTGTTACACACATCTCATTGATTCACATTACAAGCTATTCGAATTTCATCTTTCTTTTTGGCCCTGTAAATAACAACATCTGCATCAAATAGCATATTTTCACTTAGTTTGGGTCTCTGGATAAACTTGAGGTATTTTTTCCTCCATATTCTCACTATATCATACTGTATGAGCCATATAAAGCCAGATGTTATAAAGCATAAAACAAATGAAAGAGTTTCAATTACTTTTATTTCATATATCAGTCTTTGTCTGGTGTTGTGACAACTGCAAGTATTCCATGCAGTCTTTCAAGGTCAAGAAAGGTCATAGTTATTACAAAGGTATTGGAAAATGTTGTTTAAGCAATCAAAAAAGATGTAGTTACCACCTCTGCGTTTCTGTGGAGAAGACTTTGCAGTCTCTGGAATAAATCTAACACACTTGTGGGTATTATATTTCAGCAGACACTGTTTGTTAAAGTTGTCTTCAACTCTTTAAATAAAGTTTGCCTGCTGAAATCCACACCCTTATGAAGGATCTTCAAGCTGCAATGCACTGGTTGTGGTTTTAGTTCTAGCTCTATTTTAATATAGACGATTTAATATTGTATGTCAATTATTTAGTTTTACAGACCGCTGTCTACAGTAGTTTTAGATGTACTATAGCATGTCAGTTTTAGGAGTATAGCATGTCACACCGCAGGACATGTCAACTTCCCAAAAGTATTTGATGTCAGTGTATAAGTGGCCGCTTGTGTGTGTTCGTTGGTGCGAAAGGTGGAGAGAGATTAATAATAATTTTAAAAAATCACAACGTATGCTTGACTGGTATCTGGGCATCAGGTTTAGAGAAGTTTTTCATTTGGACACCTAGAACGCTACAGGCTCCTGAAGATTTAATTTCCGAGATGATTAGGTTTAGATTTCACCTGAGGCCAATTAGAAATGTAGCCGGTTTTTCTTTCCAGAAGTGAAAAAAGACGACTTGTTTTGTTTTAAAAATATTGCATTGAATTCTGAGAGAATAAGGTTTATTGGAAAATGGTAACCACCATGTTGCTGCATGTGCGTGTGTAATAGACAGATCATCGGAAACAGGATATGAAGGCGTGCAGGGTAAATTATGTCCAGTTAAGGACACGAAATGAACACACATGCAGCACACACACTCGTGCAGCCACTTCCATCGCTGCGCCTCTGAAGGACTCTTGCTCTAAACAGGCTGGTGTGTGTGTGCGGGTCCTTTGGCTGCAGTGCCAGGGAGTTACCAGAAACGGCTGTTGTACTTGGCAGCATGTGTGTATGTGTATGTGTGTGTAAGCTGTCTGAATGAACTCTTTCTCTCTCACCGAGCGGGGAAAGAGAGCGTCAAAGCAAGTGAGAGGAGGGACCGGCACTAATCTCTACACTCCTATATATTTTCCCCCTCGTTCTCTTGTTTCTACAACCCCACGTTTTCCTCCAAACAGGAAGTGACCTCATACAGTAGTTCCACAGCTGGGATGTGGGTGCCATGGAAACAAGATGGTGATGTAGTTGCCCTGAGACTTGTAATACTCATGACTGACCCATTGTGTGTGTGTGTGTGTGTGTGTGTGTGTGTGTGTGTGTGTGTGTGTGTGTGTGTGTGTGTGTGTGTGTGTGTGTGTGTGTGTGTGTGTGTGTGTGTGTGTGTGTGTGTCAAAAAAAGGGTGAGGTGACCGTTGGTGAAACCCACAAATGCACAAATTTAAAGAGAAAGTTCACCCAACAAAAATTATCTGTATGACTTAATTCTTCCGTTGAATGCAAGAAGGGAATTTTTTTTTGAACAATATCCTGAAAAAACCCCCACCATAAAAGTATAATTTTGTGACTAATAGACCAAAATCATAGAGAGAAGAGAGAAGTAGTTCTGATTTGTTCATGAATCAGACATTCTTTTGAATCTGTTCTTTAAATGAATCAGCTGATCTGTTTCACAATGAATAATTCTGAATGACTGACCTGTTCAACTCTATGAATCCGTGATTCTGTTAACAGTTAACTAGAGGGGGCTTTAAATATGATGTACATGTCATCTGGACCACTTTTTTCATACCTTTATGGACCAGAAAAATTCTCCTTTTGTGTTCAGCAGAAAAATAGAAGTCACATGGTTTGAAACAACATGAGGGTGAGTAAAGAATAAACATGTCTGCGATAGTTACTTACCTCTTTCTCACATACATGTTCTAGAGCCTTTTCTCTCTCCCTTTCTGTTTTGTTCTCTTTCTTTGTCAGTCGTCTCTCTTTCCTTTCAACTTCCCCCCTTCTCTCCCTCCTCCGATGACACCTTTCGCTCTCTCGTTCCTTGTTAGAGGTGTGTTTGATGGTGGTGATGGATGAATTGCTGTGCTGCTCTCCTCCTCCTTGACATGCAGCATTTGTAAAATGTCCCTTCGAGTCACTTTCTCTCACACACACAGTGTTGTGTGGTTGTGTGTGCATGTCAGGTGGATGGTAAGTGTGTGTTCTCTTTTGACAGAAATGCTCATGGTTAGTGGGTGTGTTTGATCGCATACGTGCACAAGTGCATTTCGCAGAGAGAGAGACATCTGTTTGAATAATTGCGTGACATTTCTTTTAAAGGTATGTTGTGGAACACGTGTGACATTCAGCAGACTTTGGCTTTAAGCATTGGAAAATAAGCATTGAAGTCACTAAATGTTTGTTGGTTAAGGTTTCTTTTTTTTTTTTTTATCATTAGACATTATGGCATCCTGTCTTTTTCTTTAGGTGGTGCTGACATTTGCGAAACATTTGGTTTTCCATTGACATATTTGAATGCATATTTTGGGATTCCACATAAAAATGGAAAGGATGGAAAGACCAAGATATAAATGAAATTTCCAAAACATGATGATCTTTGAAAGGATCATGTGACTCTGAAGACTGGAGTAATGATGCTGAAAATTCAGCTTTGCCATCACAGGAATAAATTACATTTTTAAATGCATTCAAATAGAAAATGGTTCTTTTAAATTGTAATAATATTTCAAAATATTTCTGTTTTTACTGTATTGTTGATCAATTAAATCTTTCAAAAACTAAAAAAAAAAAAATTCTTACCAAACTTACCTGTGTAATTTATACTCATATTTAATTAATACATACTGTATATCACATACACATGCTGAATAGAGCAGGCTAAACTGTCTTAAGTCTTATTTAGTGCTTTGTGTGTGTGTTGAGTCAAGAGGTGAACTCGTTTCGTAAGTTTGCAATCTTTCATGATCTTTCATTAAAACATCACCTGCTGAGATACTGTGTGACAGGTTTAGTGCTGCTTTTGGTCAGCTGACACCCTGACCTCTAAGGTGATGTGCTGTGAGCTTGCAGGCACACGCTTGACTGTGCTTCAGGGTTAAATTGGCAGAGAAAATGGAGCAAGCTGAGAAAGGGGGCGTGTCAGGGGGCGGAACCCCTCTGCGCCATGGCATCGGTTGCTATGCAACTGAGTTCTGAGGCTATTTATACTCCCTGTGCTGCTCCTCCCACTGATTTCAAAAAAACATAGACGGCATAGCTGCAGATTTGGGGGAAAATTTGATTTTGATTCAAATCCGTCTGTCTGCACACAAAACACTACAGCCAGTCCAAGGATGAAGGAGACAAAGACTATATATATATATAAAAATCATTCCAGGACAGAAAACTGTTCATTCAAAAATGCTGTTTACAAATAGCATCACTATTACTAATGAGTATCAAATCAGAAACTCAATACTGGCAGCCACAGGGGACTGATAAGGACACACACACACACACACACACACACACACACACACACACACACGCATACACCTTGGCTACATCCACACTGCAGCTGAATGTAGCCCAAATCATCAACTTTTTTTTAAGGTATTAGCATGAATTTTTAAATGTGGCATTAAAAGAATCAAACTTGGCATGTTAATCTGAATTAAATAAATGGAGTCAATCATTATGAACCTGATGTCCCGTGGAGGCTGCGGTGAAATTACACATCAATTAAGAACAGGGGCAAGGAGGCGGAAAAAGGCTGAAATTGTATTATTGGCATTCTGTGGACTCATTGTCTTCCACCCTAATAGAAATTAGGCATGCCAATGATTGTGAATTATTATGGATGATAACACCCACATTAATTCAGACTGTTCACAGTATTTTTTTTATTTTTTTTTATTCTTAATTTTTTATTTAATATTTTTTTTGCATTTGTATTATTATTTTATTTTTACAGTGACATATCAGAATTAAAATGTCCCATTCAATGAGTTTTGGGCTGTTTGCATTATAATTTTAATTCTTTTTTTTTTTTTTAAGTGTTGTTTTATTTTTTATTTTAATTAGTTAAATAATGATTTTGGTCTTTTCACACTATATTTAATTTTTTATTATTATTATTTAGTGCAAATTTTTAATTCGTTCTTTTTTTATTTAGTCTTAATTGTTCATTTAATGCAATTTTGTAATTTTAATTAAAATATCACATTTATTAAATGTTGGCCTGTTCACAGTGTCAGACCCCTGACTTTTTCGAGATCTGAGATCACAAAGATTATCTAGAAAACATCTTCTCTACACATTTTACTTCCATAATCACATGCATTCCTGTGGTAAACAGGATATTAATTGAGAAAAGTGTAGGGTTAATGGTATGAATCAGAATTGAATAGGTTTTCAAATAGTGGACACTTCACCTAGATAAAAAGGACAAGTAAACTCTACAACTCTTGACCTGAGATATTGGAAGCATACAATTACACTTCTGTAAAGTATGTTTGAGTTTCCCCAGTCATTCTTATCCATTGTAAATCACATCAACATCAGTATTTACTCAGCACATGCGCCCGTGTCAGCTGAAGTGAATCTGACCAGGATCAGCGGATTTGTGAACGAGAGCTCTGCACAATAGGGATGATTGAGCTCAGGAGATGGTCCATTAATGAACAGCATTTAATGACAACAAGAATTATTGCAGAGCATTGTAATTACCCAAGCACTAGCATGCGTGTGTGTGTGTGTGAGCAGGAAAGGCCACAGCGCTCCTCTCGTACTGCCAAACTGAAGAGAATCCCTTCATCAAAGACGCTTTTTCTTCATTCTCTCAGCCTCTTTTCTTCCCCTGTCTCCCGCTCTGAAGGAGGGGTAAGTGGTCATCAGTGCTAACGTCTCTCTCTTGTGTCTGGAAGGTGGTTATCGCTGAGACCTCAATGGTTCAAGCTGATTATGGTCCTGAACCCAAATCAACATTTGATTATAATGTCCGTGTGATGGCGTTGGCTCGTCTGATAATCAGTGGCAGTTGGTAGTTTGTGAAGTGCATTATGGTCACCAGGACACTTCACACTCTCTCTGGGTTATTTGTTCTGCAGAAGAACATTTGGGCTAAAATCACTTCCTTTCTATGTAAAGTGTGCTATAGAATCTGGACTGTTTATAGATCTAATCTCCTCTTTAATATTTCTCTTTCTCTCTCTTTGTCAGTCAGCGGAACTTGGCTGAGATCACGGAGCTGATTCACACGGCCTTCCTGGTGCATCGTGGGATTGTTAATCTGAAGGAGTGGACTAACTCGGATGGCCCCCTCAAAGACATGCAGTTTGGGAACAAGATGGCCGTTCTGAGCGGTGATTTCCTGTTGGCGAACGCATGCACTGGATTGGCCCAGCTCAATGACACCAAGGTACTAAATACGTTCTGTAAATGGTCCACTCCAGGTTTTTTTCCATTGCTTACACCATAATCAGTAATGAAAGAAAGCCTGCTTCAAGTTTGCTCCACCGTAAAAAAAGAAAAGAAAAGTGCACAAGTAAGCAGTACAAACACATTTTCTTAGCAATCTACACTACCATTAAAAAGTTTGGGGTCAGTAAGATGTTTTTTTTTTTTTTTAAATAAAGTAATACTTTTATTCAGCAAGGATGCATTTAATCGAACAAAAATGTTTTGTATTTAAAATTAATACTGTTCTTTTGAACCAAGTTATTTCGAATCCTGAAAAAATGATCATGATTTCTAAGAACCAGCACAATTGCTTTCAAATTTAATAATAAACATAAGTGTTTCTGGAGCAGCAAATCAGCATATTAGAATGATTTCTGAAGGATCATGTGACACTGAAGACGGAGGAGTAATGATGCTGAAAATTCAGCTTTGACATCACATCAATAAATTACATTTTAAAATATATTAAGATAGAAATAATTCTAAATTGTAATAATATTTCACTGTTTTAAATTCAAATCAAATAAATGCAGCCTTGGTGAGCATAAGAGACTGGTTTCAAAATCATTTAAAAAATCTTACCGGCCCCAAGCTTTTGAATAGCATTGTAGATGAGGACAAAAGCATAGATTTCAATTTTTTTTTTTAACAATATAAAAATAGTTATAAAAACTACAGACTTACCACTAACCCTGAAACAGGATTAAATATAAATGTATCACTATTAAGATTTTTCCAACGAAGAACCTCCTTGACATCCCCAAATAGAGGTTTTGTCAGATTTGACTTACTTCTGGTGTTTTTCTACCAAAAATAAACGGTCACATCTCTTCATGCCGGAGGTGTAAGCTTCTCTTTTTCATCACATTTGTGTTTTTATGCAAAGCACTGAAAAATAATAATAAAATAGAATCATTTCACCGGCTTCTGACTTCAGTTCTCAAAGACTTTGTTCGCCAGGCTGTATGCTGTCCTCTCTTGCTAATTTCCATACACTTGCATATTCTCCCACATTCTCTTGCACTCTATGTGTGTGCGTGAGTGTGTGTGTGAGCATACGTCTCCTACACCCCTCATTAAGTGTCAGTGTTCTCCTCCAGCTCTAATTAGAGTCGCAGTCAAAGCACCGTCTAACTGCACGCGGCCAGCAGCCAGTGCCACTGCCTCTCTCCACTAAGGGTTACAGCGTCTCACTAGAACATCTTTCTGAATATCATACAGCATTATGAATGGCCCGTTCAGATGGTAGAATACATCAGGACATTTTAGAGCGCTGTTTCCCAACTTATTTTGTCTTTTGGACCCTATTGATATGGCTCAAATAACCTGAAGTGTGTTACTTCTAACGCTCCATTCTAGCGGCTCAAACTGAAATGAACCCTCATAAGTTACTGACTTAAAATGCTCAACATAGGCAACAACTCCGTGCGTTATACAAATGATCTGTATCTGAAGCACACGGGAGCCTCGACTCAATTATTTCAATAGTGTAATAATATTAGCATGTTGTTATGCTAACACCACATTACTCCAATAAGTTTAAAAATACATAGCATGCAAAATATTGAGTACATACTATCAGTTTTTTAATTAGTTTTGAACTACATTTTTTTATGATTGGATGGTTTTGAATGTAAAATAGCGAAAGTTTGGGGTCTGTAAGATTTTATGTATTTGAAAGAAGTCTCTTATGCTCACCAAGGCTGCATTTATTTGATCAAAAAATACAACTAAAACTGGAATATTGTTACAATTTAAAATAACTTTCTATTTGAATACATTTTAAAATGTAATTTATGTAAATGAATTTTCAGCATCATTACTTCAGTGTCACATGATCCTTCAGAAATCATTATAATATGGTAATTTAGTGCTCAGGTAACATTTCTTATTATTATCAATGTTCAAAACAGTCGTGCTGCTTTATATTTTTGTGGAAACTGTGATACATTTTTATTTTTCAAACAGACAGTTCAAAAGAACATCATTTATTTGAAACAAATTTTTTTTTATAAAAACAATTATGTAAAAGTCTGATCAATTTAATGCATCAAAAAAGACCTACTGACCCCAAACTTTTGAACGGAAGTGTGTTTATAATCAGTATTCTCTCATATTGTTTGGCATATTGTTGGCAAATGATTTTTTTTTATTATTTTTTTTATAGATATTTAACAACGCAAAAGCAAAAAAGTACCCAAGACCTGCTTAAGTACACGTAGCCCTGGTTGGGATTGACTGTTTTTCGAGGATATTGCTTGCCATATCATAATATTAACAGACTAAGTAAAAAGGGATTTGCACTTAGAAACCCTAACATTTCATCTCTCTCTGTCCCTCTAACACACACAGACACACTCAGATGCACTAAGCGGCAGAACGCTGACAGGATCTGTCACCAAGTGCAGCTCTAGAATGCAGCTCTCCCCGTGGAGGAAAACAAACTCTTTTCCTTCTGCGTAGCCTCAGACACACGCACGCACACTCAAACTCACTTTAATGTGTGCATGAGCGGACATGGAAATGACTGCAGGGGATTGAGGTGATCAGCAGATTGTGGTGACTAATATAAAGAACAGATTTTGTGTTTTTTCTCAAGAGGAGCTCAGCATTCAGACAGCCATACATCTTATAGTCAGGACTCACTGCTGGTTTTGTCTGCGTGTTTAATACACACTCTCTTCTGTAGGTAGATAATGTGGAGTAATACAGTGAGTTTAGGAGTTTGTATTGGCGTGTTCTATAGCACCTCCTGGTGGCCGAAATTGGAAATTCCTCACCTGTTTAGAGGTCAAGTGTGTTTTTTGATGCCTCAATACTAGTGTAAATATTTAAATCAGAGAATTAGGATTATAAAGTTAGAGAATTAGAATTAAAGATTTGTTTTCTTTTGTTTAATTTTGAATAAACATTTAATAAATTGTATGTGTTTTATGTTACTGCAGTCGGTGACGTTTTATAAAAACCCAGTTAAAAGTCCTTACTGATGTAAATGATTTTGTGACAGGTGTAGTTTTACAGACAGATGGCGACATGAAGTTTCAAAAGTTTTGGGTCAGTGAGATTTTTATTTATTTATTTTTTATTAAATGATAAAAAAGTGACAGTAAATGCATTTATAAAGTTATAAAAGAATTCTATTTCAAATAAATGCTGTTCTATTCATCAAAGAATCTTTAAAAAATGTTTTTTACACAACAATATTAAGCAGCATAACTAGTTTCAACATGTATAGCATTTATTATTATTATCATCAATAAAACAAGAAGTAAAAATAGCAGTTATTTTAAGTTTACTGTATTTTTGATCAAATAAAATGTAGCCTTGATGAGCATAAGAGACTTCTTCCAAAAACATTAAAATATCTTACTAACCCCAAACTTTTAAACAGTACTCTATATACACTAATATGCAAAAACAGCTCAATCTTATTGTCACAAGAACAAAATGTGTCTTTTGAATTATTAAAAAAAAAAGAGCAAAATGTTGTTTCATCATCAGTAAGAAATATATATGCCAAATTTCTCCCTGCACTCGCCATTGGCAGCTGTGGACAGAAGGTCATTTTGAGCCCTCGTTTTTAGTGAACACACACACACACACACACACACACAGAGAGAGAGAGAGAGAAGAGAGTGTGAGTAAAATCCTTTTTTGTGTGTGAAACTGAACCTGTTGTGCAGCGAACCGTGATTAAAGCCACACACGCTCTGTTCTGACTCACTGAAGTAGTGACTGACTGACAGGATGACCAGCCAATCAGAGATCAGACTCTTTAGCTGCAGGTTTAACTTCCATAGATGTAATGTATTAAATATATTTTAAGTGTTTCACTTAGTCCCTTGATGTAACTGACAGTCAACCAGCTAGAACCATCCGAACGCATCACCCTGTTCAAACTGCCGTCTATGTAAATGAGGGCGAGGCCCTATTGCATTAGCGGTTCAGTTAGCGTGAGAGCATTAGCGGTGGAAATCAGACGTTCTCTCTCCAAGTCCACACAGCAAAGCGTTTTTTCCTCCTGATTGATCTGTATTATGTATCGTGGCCTTGAGTGGGATCCTGACTTAGTAGACTGTGTGTGTGTGTGTGTGTGTAAGTGAGAGAGAGTGGGATTCTGGCTCGACACTAGTATAAACGGTAAAGGGATCCGCGAGCGGCTGTCTCCTCTTTCTTCTCCTCACAGACCTGTCGGCGAAACACGACTCCGGCTGGATTTGGGAATGAGACGAGACGGAGGGAGGGCAGCTTATCTGATACTTTCCAAAAAAAGCCCCCCACCCCCCACTTCTCACACACACACACACAAACTCACACGAAAGACAGACGTACACAAACACACAGTTCAAACACACATTTATTCTCGTGTACACACACACACATGCTTTAATTTCTCCGTGTGGAGTGTGTGAAGCCGCACATCTGGCTGCGCTATAGGGGCTCTCTGTCTTCTCTGGGCTCTGTGTAGAGGAGTCAAGTTCCTCACTGTTTCCTCAAAGATCTGGTTACTCAGAGGGCAGAGAGAGAGAGAGAGAAGGAAAGAGTGAGAAAAACAAAGTTTGAGAGAGAAAGTTTGGGGAATGGAGAAGAGTAACATAATATTGAATTTAAGGAATAGCCGAGGAATAGCAGTGTCTGGATGGAAGGCCTCTGCTATTCTAGTTCCCTGGAGATTCTGCCTGTGGTCTTATGATTCAACAGGCAGGTCTTTCGGGAAAAGAGGAAAAAGAATGATGGAGGGTGAAAATAAGGTGGAGAATGTAGCCAGAGAATGTCTAATTGAAGAGAATTGGCACTGGCTGGTTACTTCCGGTTACTGGACTGGCTGCAGTAACACGTCTCTTTCCATGCGGGGGCGCTCGCAGGCGAGTGCAGAATGAATGGGAGTCTATGGGGTTTCACCCCCAGAAATCCACTTTTCTCAGGATGTAATTTTTTGTCAAGTAATTTGAAAGTTGCATTCAAAAGGGAGGGCTATGATAATACACTCAGCTGAAAATTGCATTTGTAAGTTCACTTATCTGTTCTAAAAATCCATTAAAAAATGTGATGACGTCACACAATAGCAGAATGCTAGCGTGTTCCGGCCAACAACGGCCTAACCTGTAAGAAATCGAAAGGACAAAAGTACTCGTTCATTCGACTTTTGGCCTATAATCTATATTGAACTTGCGGAATCAACAATAAAATATATGTTGATTCAACGACAAGCAGGAGAAAGAGATACATTTAGCCGTTTAGCTCCATAGACTCCCATTCATTCTGCACTCGCCCGCGATCACCTCCAGTGGAATTCTAATGGAACTGCAACCAAGATGATACACAATGGGGCTAATAGGAAGTGCCAAGGCTCTCCGTTAGACGGGCTCTGATGTAGCCTAGGGCGACCATGTATTTATTATGTCTATGAGGGCGACGGATGGAAGGAAGGGATAGCAAACCATGTGATTAGATGAAAGATGGAGCTGTCAGTTACTGTTGTGGAGTAGCTGTGTAACGGAGTAGCGCCCCCCTCAGGAGCACTGTAGGCACTGCACGATTCGATAATAGTTTTTTAAATTCAGACAATTTTTATTCAACCTCATGACAACTTATTGTCTTCTGTGGAAGACAAAAGAAGAAATTCTGAAGTATTTTACTAGCTCTTTTCAATTACAATCAATGGGGAAGGATGCTTACAAAGATGCAAAGCATGATTCAAAGCAGTTCAGTTTTAAATTCATATAACTAAAATTTCATCTAGTCATTTATAACAAAAATTGTATCTAATCATTGAAAAAAAATATAGCTAATTTATTAACTCTATTAACATCTAAATATGGATAGATAAAATGTTGATTTATTTTATATTATTCTTATTTTTCATATTATTGTGTGTGTGTTTGTGCAAAATATTTGCATATTTGTTTGGACGATTTATCCTTTTGCTAATTGCAGTAGTCCTATTCGGAACCGTGCTATTTAAGAGATTTAGAACGGGTTTTTTTTTTTTGCTTTGTCTGAATTAAAATTCATCCATTAGGATTCATTTTCTTATTCTTTAGATGTGTTTTTGCATTTGTTTAGAATTTCGTGACGAGGGATTTTTATGTGTGTATTCTGCATCATGCATATTTTTTGCAGTTCAAGAGAACAGCCCAATCAACACTGAAATATCAGATGATTTGCAGTAGGTGTTGAGTGTTTTTGTGCTGTGAGCAGTTTGGTGCTTGTGTCTTTTTAAAGAGTGAAAAACTGAATCAATAAGCTAGTGCAGATGTCAGAGTCCTCATTAAGCTCTGTATCCTCTGGACATTGCACTGTTTTGACTGGCCATCTGTTTAATAACTGAAGTGCTGGTTATTCTATCTGTCCCTCAGATGCTCTTTTAGACTGAGTGGACTGGAAAAAAAGTCTTCCCATATTCCCAAACAGCTCATGGCCTAATACATGCTAATTTCAGAACAGATGGGGCTGATATCAACACTGTTATTCTGAAAGTCTTCTTTTAAGTGTTGTGATGTTATGTTTGTTATAGGTGGTGGAGCTGATCTCCAGTGCTATCGGAGATGTGGTGCAAGGAATCTATCACGAGAGCTCCAGTTCTGCAGAGGTACGGCATTCAGCCCACTGCACTTACCACATATAGCCACCAGGGGCACAATATGGGACACTAACTATTTGTGTGATCTTTGTAACGACTGCTGAAAATTGACATACACAATTATTTTATATTGTACTAATATTTCAAATGATTACTGTTTTTAAAAAAAAATCATATTAATGCAACCGTGGTGAGCATAAAAGACTTAATTCAAAAGCATTAAAAAATCTTACGAACCCCCAAACTTTTCAACAGTAATGTGCCTGTTTATGAAACAGTGTGTTTTATTATATTCCGGCTGTGTTGCCTATTATGTAAAACCACTCAAAGCTTCTGTGGTTTATTGCTTTAATATACATGTGCTTTCTATGAGATGTAATATCTTTCATCGCTAAGCTTTGTTTTTCACATAAATGAATTATTAATGGAGTTACAGAGGAATCTTTTTAGTGTTTAATGTTTTATATTCAAAGCTTTCAAAACAGCTAACGACTGGACAAGCAAAACATCTCCAAACAGAGCGAAACACAGGCTGACTTAAAAGACTTAAAACATCTGCAAACCACTAGTAAATAATGAATGACAAAGTTTCCTGTGCGAGGCGAGAAAGAGGAAAAGTGATGGAGAGGACCGCGTTTATGTGAGAGAAACGCAACAAGGGAGGGAGAGAGAGATTCAAGTTTCTTTTACCCTTTTTAGAGGAGACGTTTCCGAGCAGATGTTTGCATCAACTTTCCTTCCTTCGGTTACCCCCCTCTCCCTCATACCATCAGGTTTTTTTTTTACTCTCTAATTTTTTGAAGTTGCATCCTTAAAGTTTCCTGCGACATTATGTTTGTTTGGGAATTGAAATTAATTTAATTAAAAGCTTCCTTTTGGTTGTGGTCTTCGAAGGCTTGTTTAATGATATATTCTAACTCTCCACATCCTCTCGACAAACAATACAGCTCAAAAGTTTGAGGTCGATAAGATTATTTAAAATATTTTTGAAAGAAGTCTCTTATGTTCACCTAGGCTTTTATCAAAAATAAAGACAATAATTTTGTGAAGAAGTATTACAATTTAAAAGAACAATTGTTTTCTATTTGAATGTTTTTCACAATGTAATTTATTCCTGTGATGCAAAGCTGAATTTTACTCCAGTCTTCAGTGTCACATGATCCTCAGAAATCATTCTAATATGCTGATTTGGTGTTCAAGAAACATTTATTATTATTATTATAATTATCAATGTTGAAATCAGTTGTGCTACTTAATGTTTTTATGGAAACCTTAATGCATTTTTGTTTTTTTCAAGATTCTTTGATAAAAAGAAAGTTCAAAAGCACAGCATTTATTTAAAATAGAGTTTTTCTGTATTCTGAAGGAGGGCAGTCTAACACTTGCTTCCTGGGAAGACCAGACATTCCTGTCCCATGGTGCTTTGCTTGCCAAGAGTTGTCAAGCTGCGATGAAGCTGGCCAGACACGGTACCGAGGCTCAGAATTTGGCTTTTCAGTACGGAAAACACCTCACTCTCGGACACAAGGTGTGTATGCACAGTCGCACAAGTGCATTGTGGGCACAAGCTGTTTCTCTATACCTCCTGTCTGCTTGTTTCATTCTCCTGTTTTCTCTTTAGACTGTACACACAGTGTTTCATAACAATCATGGATATATGTGTGTGTTTTGTAGCTAAACTCTGATCTACAGCCATTCGTGAAGAGCGAGTCAGAGCCAGCTGTGTTTAGTTTGGATTCGGCCCCTGTTGTCTTCCACAGACAGATCATAGGACCTGAGAGATGGCGGCACCAGCTAAAACAGGTACCAGACATCCACATCAAAATGGTAGAAGCCGGCACGCTAACACTGGTAGCAAAGCGAAAGCTGTGAAATGACATTGAAGCAAATGTGATACTACAAAGACTCAATGAAATAACATGCTGAAAACACTAATAGAAAATACAACATACATTACCGTTTCAAAAAATTTGGGTCAGTAAGTTTTTATTAATTTTTTTTTTTTTTAAGGAAATAAAGGACAAGTTAAATGGATCAACAGTTACAGTAAATGCATTTATAATGTTAAAAAAAATTAAGTTTTTAAATATATGCTGTTCTTTTGAACTTTCTATTTATCATATAATCCTGACTTTTTTTTTTTTATCACCGTTTCCACAAAAATTAAGCAGCTCTTTTCAACATTGATAGTACGGGTAATAAAAAATGTTTCTTTTTGAAACTAAGCATAATTAGAATGATTTCTGAAGAATCATGTGACACTGAAGACTGGAGTAATGATGCAAAAAATTCAGCTTTGCCATCACAGCAATACATTTGGTTTTAAATGTATTCAAATAGAAAGCAGTTATTTTAAATTGTAATAATATTTCACAATATTACTGTTTTTACTGTATTTTTGACCAAATAAATGCAGCCTTGGTGCACATAAGTGACCTTACTGACACAAACTTTTGAATGGTAACAGTTCATGGAGTGTATTCACGTTACATTGGTGGAAAAAGTCATGTGAGTCGAGATGTCATTTATTGAGCTATGTGATGTCTAAATGCAGCTAGCAGACAGTCGAGCCAATTTTACTGGAGTATAATTCATATTGTAGGCAGTATTTGTCATTAATAGAAGTGATTCAAGATTAAGATTTTAGCCTGTAGACTGGTGGCAAACACCATTACGGTTCATATTTCATTGTGTCAGCATGACGTTCTCTGGATTCACATTTTTCTCTCTTTATTTCAGGCCCAGAATATGGCTAGACAGATTGATTACACAGAGGTGAGCAAATCCTATTTTTTGATAAAGGAAGAGAGGGAAAACAAAGTAACGGCAGCCTCATTCTAGTGTCTTCTTATTCAGAGAACTTGTGTTCATGGGTTTTACTGTATAAACCACTAAATCATTTGATTATTTTCATTCAGCCAATGAAATGAATAAGTGAGATTGTCTATCGAATTCAAGAGAAATCAATCCTCCTGGTCAAACCACTAATCAATGAATCCAACCACAATACTTCTGATGAAACATTCATACAGATATGATACAGATCGATTTCCCAGGAGTCAGTCATGGAATCATTCCCAGGCTCACAGCATGTGTCAATGTTTACAAACAAACAAAAAGATAAGTTAATTAATATCCAGTTAATAAAAATGAACCAAAAAGTTGTTCATGTTTATTTAATTATACATTTTTTTAAGATAGTGAAACCTGAAATGACCTATTATTGTGACAACCAATGGTTCCCATGAGGAAAAGAGATTGATAAACATACTAAATAATATCTTGATGAAAGCCTAAGATGCAAAAGAAAAAAGAAAGATTTAGATTTCGGATTGGGGGGTTGCAAACAAACATCATTAGCACAGCATACAAATAATAGTCAATGTAAACGCTGCACCAGGATATCAAATCAAGTTAAAAAATGTAATCAAATATTTAAATTGGAGGGTAAAAGTTTAAGAATCGGTCATTGAAAGTGCATGTTGATCGACCGATGCTGTGAATATTGGTGGTTACGGTCCTGAGTGAGCTGATAGGAAGTGTTTGTTCTCTGTAACTGATAGCAAGTTCAGAAATTTGATTTCCAAAGTCAGAAGGAGAAGCCGGACAGAAAGAATGAAGGGGAGAAAGACAGAGGCAGAGATGAGGTGGGGAGGGGGCAGGAAGAGGAGGAGGAGGAGGGCACAAGCAGCTCGGGTCGCCGTAGAAACACGATATTAGGAGATAGAGTGGCAGGTTTATTTGTAGAGGAGACAGAGAGACGGTTTGACAGCAACATCACACGAGATTCTCCTTCAACAGGACACAGACAGACACATCACACCCACACACACACATCACATATCTCTGTTATCAGCACATAAATGCCACATTAATCTCTCCAGTATTCACTCTCTGATTATTATTTTTTTTGGTGTAAAAGTGTGTCTTGGGTGGGTCATGACTCATGAGGTCTGTCAAACTGAAAATATGAAAGCTTTTTAGTACATTAGTCAAAGAAACTGTAGCCATACAAACAACAGTGAGAAATCGGTCAGCAGTTGATGTCATCATCTGTCTCTCTCTCGCTCACATTGGTGAAAGCAGGTCTCTTCTGCTGTTTTTAACTCTAGGCCCCCAAGGGCTTCTTAGCACAACACATCCCAGAATTCATTTGGTAAAATAGCCTCCAGCAAAACACGTTTATAGAGAACAGTGGAGGACTACAAGACCATTTGAGTGAGTGAGAGAGTGGAGTTATCTGGCTTTAAATGTAATTATTGTTTATATATATATATATATATATATTTTTTTTTATTATATATATATATTATTTAATATACACTTCTGTTCAAAAGTTTGGGGTCAGTAAGTTTTAATTCAACAAAGATGCATTAAATTGATCAAAATTGACAGTAAGGACTACTTACATTAGTAAGGTACATTTCTACAAAGATTCAAACAGAACTGTTGTAATAAGTGATAAATTACTGATTTTACCGATTTTTGGTCAAATAAATAAAGCCTTGGTGAGCAGAAGGGACTTTTGTAATGTTTCAAAAACATTAAATATCTTAGACCTCAAACTTTTGACCAGTAGTGTATTATTTGTACTGTATTATATTTGTTAACATTAGTTTATGCATTAGGGAACTAACAATGAACAAATAAATATACTTTTGCTCAGTTAATCTATGTTCTGGAAAAAAAGAAGAAGATTTTTGCTGCTTGTTCAAATTGCCTAATGAAAAGCAGCATAATTGCTATACATTTGTTCCTAACTTAATTTGATTGTGTTCAATCCACTTAAATAAATGTCAAATTGAAGTTTACTTAATCCGTTTGGGTGCTTGTTAGTTCCCAGCATGCTTTGCATATGGCAATATGCATATGCATATCAAGAGAGAGTAAATGTTGTAATTAAATGTTATTTTATGTTTTTGCATTTAAGATGCTAAAGTGTGCTATTGCTAGCTACAAGTTTGTTAACTAGCTAGGACAGTCTTACAATTCAGTTGTGTGACAGTAAAATATATGAAGATGAATGAATAGATGAAATTGAATGCCTGAACCATGTCAAGGGGCCATTGATTCATGTGGGACAGATGTACAAGATACAATCAGTGTATATACGACATTAATGTTAATTCATACAATTTGACATTTTTACAATTTGAAAATTTAACCAAGATTAATAAAAGTATTGTTCATTGTTAGTTCATGATACCAAACACATTGTTTACAAATTGACCCTTATTATAAAGTGTAACTATCATTTGTTTTGCAAGTAAATCCCGTTAATCTGTAGAAATTGTCATGATTTGAATTCCTTGCCTTTAAATTCAGTTCTAAAGAATATTACTTCTACTGTTTCAGTTTCATTTGTTTGATGGAATGATATTTAAATTTCTCCTCATTCTTGCGTGTTTTGCAGCTCCGGGGCCTGATAAAGATGGAAAGAGGCGTGAGCCAGGCGCTTGACCTGTGCAGTTACCATGGCAACAAGGCCTTAGAGGCCATGAAGTGCTTCCCACCCTCAGAGGCTCGGTCGGCGCTGGAAAACATGGCCTGTGCGGTCACCAAGTTCTAAAGATGGTTTCAATCTGGATGCATATATGAAACCAATTCAGTTTGATGCTCTTGATTATTGTCGAAACATGAGCCCACCTGGAGTTTTCACTTTTTGGTGCTTTTCAAAGACTTTCTTTGGAATGTTTGCGGTTCTGACCTGCTCCACAGATGATGATGATGATGTTTATGTAGTAATGACGAGTGTTGATTACTGGACTCATACACACTCTATGCATTTGGTCGCCAAATCAGCTTTATCTTTTAAAATAAAATGAGATGTCTTTTTGAAGAAAAAAAAATCAATATGTATTGTCTCTCTTTATTCTAAAATTTCTGATTTCCTGTGATATTTACCGGAGGTCAATATTTCTATACAGCACGTTAAAAAAGATAAACAAACATCATTAATATATGACTGTAAGATATGATCATAGAGAAACTTATTAGTATGATAGGGGGTGGCATTAACCAAAATGTTGGTCCGAAAACCGATGACTGTGTGTGTGTGTGTGTGTTGTGGGTGCCCGGGGTGCTCCAGCAGCAGTGTTGGCAGTAATAATTAATGAGGTGAGTGTGTGACCTGAGTGAATGGGCAGGAAATGCTGCAGTATTGATCAGCTCAGCGAGAGGGCTGGCGCCAGCTTGGGCAGCCTGCGGTTTCCCGGGTGACCACGGGGGGGACGACTAGAGTGTGAAGTGTGGCGTAGGGGAGTGACGGTCACTGCCGGCAGCCGCTGGACCACACACACACACTTGAAGGACAGAGAGGGAAGAGAATAACATATATGCAGAAACATCAGCAGAGTTCCTTCCATGTCTCTCTCTGGCCTCAGATTTGTTGGCAGGATAGTACACTAAGTTTGCTCGGTAGGAGAGGGACAGCCCTCTGGTCATACATGAAAAATTCATTTTGGCCTCAAGCAGACCTGAGAAAACACACAGTGAAAAACTGAAGAGAACAAGGACAGAAATAAAGAACAAGCAACCCTTCCTGACACAACAACACCACCACCATGTCAGAGGCAAACTCTTGTGCTGTCTCGTCCTGATCAGAGTTCGTTCAGACTTTATTATTAGAATTACTGTGTAAAACTAACAAAGTGTCGAAGAGTGATATGAAAAGTCATGAAAGGTCTTTTAGTCTTTATTGCAAGGGAATTGTAGGTTTTGGGCCTCATTGAGATTGTACCAATCACATTTTAATCATGTTGAAGTTTGCTTCATTTAATCAGTCATGGTTCATGGCTAACGCTTAACAGATTGGAAGAAATCAATGAATTATTGAATTTTCTGCCAATTTTCGTAAGTTGATTATTCATGGCAGAAACAACATAAGACAACACTGCATGCCAGATCTTCAGTTGTGATAATCGAGCTCTGGCTAATTTCTTTAAATGAGTTTTTTAATTTGCGGATTTGATAAAAAGATGGGTAACACTTTATAAGGTCACATTTGTTAACATAAGTCAATGCATTAACTAACGAGAACTAACAATGAGCAATCTATTTTTACAGCATTAATTAACCTTTGTTAATAAAAAGAAATTCAAGTTAGTTCGAACTAATGTTGACAGATAGAACTTTTGATCTTAAAATATATTACTAAATGTTGAGATTAACGTAGCTAAGATTAATAAATACTGAAGTATTGTTCATCGTCAGTTCATGTTAACTACTGTAGAACGACACATGTTAACAAATGAAACTTTATTGTAAAGTGTTACCAATATCTGGATTAAGTTGTCTAATATTACTGCATGTTCATTGGAAAGGGCAGATATACAGTATATCGATACTCAAAATCATGATCAGCAATGCAGCGATTGGCTGGTGTCAGCAACGTAATGACATCATATAATAAAAAAAAAGGAAACAGCCAAGCAGGCGAAATGACATAAAATATCTAATACATAAATGGTTAAAAGTGGGTGGGAAACCAAGCCCAAAGTTGCTTATAATAAGTAGACTTGGCAACACTGCTGTGCTTGCTTTGTAAAACTGATAGACACTTCCCAGATTCCTCAGGTGGTGGTTGTTTTTTAAGCTGAAGTGAAATTTCTGCTCCACTAGCAGGGTTGCCAGATCTGAAAGAAAGAAACAAAACCAGAAAAACCCTGATACAAAACTAGCACAAATACCACAACTCAAAATATCTCAATCCCATAGCTAAAATACATTTAAAATACAGTCACTGTTGTGTATTACAAACAAGTTTTAAACTCAAATCACTATAAAGTAATATATAAACAGTCTGTCATCTTACCTTAAGATTTTTATAGTTTTAAGATCTTCTTGTTCTTGGTCATTTTCATAGATTTCTGCACACTGGCTCCTTCAATCATTAATTTATATTTATATTCAATTCATTGGTTTATCAGTCAAATAAAGTATTTCAGTCAAATACAATTTATAACATATGTTAAACCTTTAACCCACAGGGGAAAAAACAAATCGCTGCAACAGTTTCAGAAGTAGCCCAATTCCGCAGGAAAAAACGATAGTCCCACCCCAAATCTCACGTCATTGGTTCAGCTGTTACTGGTCAGAATGCTCAATTGATTGGTTTCTTTATTCTAGTTTTTATTTTATTTAGTTCAGCATTTATTTGTTTATTTAGGGTTAATCCTAATTTTTGTACGGGCAATCACCACTTCACATAATTTTTTTATTTTTAGAAAATGTACAACCAGTTGGTATTTTGGACATTTATTTTCTTAAAAACAAACAAAAAAACCTGTGTGTGTGTGTGTTATGGGGTCAGATGGCGGCCTAACGAAAGTCAGACATACACACAGACTTACAGTGTGAATTTATGGCCGTCAGTATAAGCATCCTGGTAACCTGATACTGTCTCTGTTTTTGCGCATGGAAATGATTTTTGTGGTTTGGCGATTCGTGGCAATCCGAGCCCCTGATGACATGGTGGCTGGATTTGCACAGGTATAGCAAGCGAGAGAGAGAGTGTAGGATACTAGCTCAACTTCAGTAAAGCTCAAATCTATTACGACTCATTTATTCTATACAGACAGGTGACTCTCCGCCTCCTTTATGTGTTTGGATCAGAGATGAGGAGCCTGGTCTGAGATCATTAGATTTGATTTTCGTATATTGAAACTAAATTTTTAATGTGACACGTGTTTTAGGTCTTATAAATGAATAAGAAGAGCGATCCATTTTATAAGTAAAACTGTTGCATGTGACTCTTGCATTTTGTGTGCTTATTAGACTTTACCTTTAAACCAGTCTGCTTTAGGAATATATGATAGATGTCTAGTGCTCTAGTCTCTCCATCTACGGACAGATCTTTAAAACTCTCCAGCACCATTCTCGCATCACGTCATCATGTTGCCTTTCGAAACGGTCTCTCACATTGCGTGAAACACACTTTGGGGAAACTCTGTTTTCTCAGAAAACTGCAGCCTGATTTGTTCACGTTTGTGCACTGCACGAACTGATGGCATTTCAGCCCGCCCAAATGGGCGGAGCCGACTGCCTATAAGCTTTTGATACAAAATGCCACGCCACGAGTGTGGCTCGTGCAGACGAGCACAGTGAGTGCATTGCTTGCCTGGGCCGAGATCACTCTGACTGCAGCGCTCCCCGGAACAGACTGCTCTCATTGCGAGAGTAAGAGTATCACTTTGCGCTCACAGATAGCTTTCTTCAACGAAGACGGCCCTCGCTTTTTCCTGTTTCCCTCCTCCTAGGAGCCTCGGAGGAAGAAACAGAGTTGTCAGAGGGCTAAGCATGTGGGTTTGAACGAGTGCAAGCCCAGGTGTTATTGCTGCTTTTCTCTAGTTCATTATGTTTAGGAATGTGTTTAAGGTTATTGCTGTGTATTGCGGTTTTTGCTATTTTTCTGCTGTTGCTCTTTAGGTGCTGATTGTAAACACCTGCACCCCATTTGCTGATTATCACCTAGCACTCCATTCATTGGTTCCTGCAAGAAGAGAGCTAGCAATAAAAACAGCCTAAAGCCACATAGCAAGCAGAGAGACTTGGAGTTTTCCCTCCTAATGCAGACTTCTGCCCCAGACAATTTGCCAACCGTTGTTTTTCTTTGTTTTCCTTTGTTGTAAACCAGTTAAACTCAGTCCCATCCTCAACCTCAGGATCCCGAATCGTGCATTAATGAGATGGCTATTCAGGATGTTGAATTTGAAGCAGATCCTCACGCAGGTCTGCCCAGAGGGTTGGTTCTTATCTGTGAATCTGAAAGATACTTACGTTCATATCCAAATAGCACCTTATCACAGACTGTTCTTGAGATTCGCATTCGAGGGGGTGGCTTACCAATATACAGTCCTCCCATTCGGGCTGTCTCTGGCCCCACGCACATTTAACAAGTGCCTGAACACGGCTCTCTCCCCTCTGAGGCAGGTGGGAATCCGCGTCATGAACTACCTCGACGACTGGCTAGTGTTATCAGTCACCTAGAACATCTTGGGCTCAGAATCAATTCAGCCAAGAGCATCCTGTCTCCCAGCAGGCGAGTCGCTTTCCTGGTGGCAGTTATCTACTCAGGCCTGGCTCACCCTGGAACGCTCGCTGAGTATTCAGTGGCTAGTGGCGTCATTCAAAGTTGGGGCTGAAAGCCTGAGTCCCGTCCCACGCTTGGCGTCAGGGACGGTTATGCCTCAGGGTGGACCGGATGGAGTCCTGCCTGTATCGGACAGGTGTCCGATTGGGACTGACCTCAAACGGAAGGTTGTTGCGACAGATGCCCGCAACCCGGGTTGGGGAGCTCTGTTTGAGGGCAGACCGGTGTTCAGCTCCTGGTCCAGCCTGGAGCAGCGACTGCATATCAGTGAGACGCCGCCTCCATATGGGCACAGACGCCATAGCGAGACGCCTCCTCCTATGGGCACAGTGCAACCTGGGCTCCTTGAGGGCAGTGCACGTGCCGGGCAGGTTGAACCAAGGGGCTGACATGCTGTCCCGGGGTGGGTTGTCTCCAGGGGAATGGGGGCTCCACCACCAATCGGTTCAGATGATCTGGGAGATCTTCAGGAGGGCAGAGGTAGACCTCTTCGCCTCAGAAGACAACTCTCATTGGACAATTTTTTCTCAAGGGAACAGGACGCACTGGCCCAGGATTGGCCCAAAGCTCGCCTGTACGCCTTTCCCCTGATCGTTCTGCTCCCTCAGGTCATCAGGTGAATCAGGGAGATCAGATGCTCAGTTCTCTTGGTGGCTCCACTCTGGCAAAACCAGTCGTGTTCCCTGAGCTGATCGTGGTCGATTCTGCCGAGGAAAGACCTTCTCTCTCAGTGAGAGGGTCCCTTTGGCATCCCCAACCCGAGTCGTGGAGCCTACATCTGTGGTTCCTTGACTGGAGCCTTCGCAGCTCCCTGTGAGAGTCGCCAGCACGATAGCGGAGGCCAGAGCGCCATCTACAAGACGCCTCTATACCTTTTAAAGGGTTTGTCTTCTCCGACTGGTGTGTGGTCTGGAACGAAGACTCATCCATTTTTGATGTGTCAGCCATTCTGCCCTTCTTACAAAAACTACTTGATAAGGGGCGTACCCCTTCCACGCTCAAGGTATATGTGGCACCCTCGTGGCCGGCCAGTCTGTAGGAAGGAATGACATGGTCGTCAAATTTTTGAGGGGAGCCAGGAGACATAACCTGCCTCGCCCTTGTACTGTTCTGATCTGGGACCTGTCCACGATCCTTAGGGTCCACCGAGGCCCTCCGTTTGAGCTGCTCCAAGCGTCCGGATTGCGGCCCCTGTCGCTGAAGACAGCTGCTAGCTTTAGCGTCGGTCACACACGTGGGCGACATGCAGGCGCTCTGGGTGTTCTATATGCTATATCGTTCCCCAAAGCGTGTTTCACGCAATGTGAGAGACTGTTTCGAAAGGGAACGCTCTGGTTACTAACTTAACCTCGGTTCCCTGAGATGACGGGAACGAGCATTGCGTACCCTGCCGTGCTATACAGCTGCACACGAGTCTGCACTGCGGCAGTCCAAAGATTCTGACATTACGGCATTCTTCACCGACTTATAGGCAGTCGGCTCTGCCTGTTAAGGCAGGCTGAAATGCCATAGGTTCATGCAGTGCACAAACGTGAACAAATCAGGCTTCAGTATTCTGAGAAAACAGTGTTTCCCCAAAGAGTGTTTCATGCAATGCTCGTTCCCGTTATTTCAAGGAATAGAGGTTACGTTAGTAACTGGTGCATTTTCTGTTCCTGTTGCATTCAAAAACCCTTATTGTGTGTTCTGTTAGGTGGCTGACATTAAGGAAAAACACCCTTTAAAAATATGAAGAAAAAACAACAATAAAAAAAAAAAAACATTCTACAGCCTAGGCCTATCTGTGTTTTTTTAAATGTAGGCTATTATAGGCATTTGCATGCATTTTTAATAGCCTATAAAAACAATGAACTGAACAGCAGTTAACTCCTGTCTGCCAGTGTGATTTTATTTTCCTCGTGTTTATCCAACAGCTTATTACTTTAAAAATATAATGTAGTTTTTGAGGATAGAATGCATTTAAGAGTCTTTGAAGTAGCCTGCAGTTTTGAAATGTGTTCTTATTGTAGTACTCTTCTTTATTTTGCCACTAAAGCAATAAAATATTCTTTCTCGATTTGACGGATGTGATTCTTTGTCTCATAAGATAAAAAAAAATGAGATGAGCGCATGCTAAAATGAGATTTTAGAACAGGCGCGAGCGTCATCGCATGAGCGCGTGATGGATCAAACAGCCCACATTACCTGAATAATGACCGGCGTCTCATCACACCCACATCTCAAAGAGCCACGGCTCCGTGACCATGACTTAATGCAGACATCATCACTAATGCAGACATTACTAATGCGCGTTACGGGACATTGGCCACATCGGGTGCAAACTGATGAGTGTCTGAGAACAGTCTCGGAGTGTGCCTTTAGGTGCGCGCACGAGGACAGCTGGAGTGGACTTATTTCACCTCTTTGCTAGTGCGAAATGCTGTAACAGACAACCTACATCATCCATAAATAGCTCACATATTTATATGCTGTAAAGTTTAATTAGACCTTCTGGATGCTTGAATGGACATTAATTCTTTCTTTGCTTTTTTCCAATTTAAAGTAGCCTATAGGCTACTTTTTGGCATGATTGTTTTGCTTGTAGGAATATATAAAATAATAATCAAATAAATAAATGCTTAAAAATATATATAGATATATTAATGACAATATTTAAAATATAATTTTAAAAAGATTATTTACTTGACATCAAAACATGTTATAATCTAGTTACAATAGAAAGCAAATTTGCCATGCATTACTTGTCATATCCGCTAGACGGCAGTCCCCTTGCAGTGAACTGCAACATAAAAGCGGTCTGGGACAGTTCATTATATAGTTCGCTAGTTGTATCATGGACAAGACTGAAAAGTTCACATTACCTATTTATGCTGCTGTGCTGATAAAGTTAAAATACGAGCTAACCTTATTTCCGGTTACAACTTGATTCAGAATGCATCTAAATAGACCGTTCAACTTCAAACTCAAAAGAAAATTTCCTGAATGTTACAGATATGCAATACATTTATTTTGGGGCAAAATTTTTCATAAAGAAAAAACCTAATAATTGTGAGTCAAGTAATAATAGGCTACTAATCTATGAAGACCTGCTTCTTCAATATGTCCTTAGTAAATTACTATTCAAATATTAAATGTAAAACCTTCTGTGAGGACAAAGTACACCCAAACAATTCGTGGTAGCCTATCGTTTGGTTTTCTTGGTGTTGCTTACATTTCCAATCTCATTACTCAGAATTTGCAGAACGTCATTTATTTAACCGCACCAACTTCAAATCAATGTTTTAGAATAAAACGGAATGCACTGACACATATACACAAAATAAAAGCAGTAGCTATTTTGCTTAATAGAGGGAATAACCATCTTATATTCACATGCATTAGGCTATTAATTCTGTAGTCATTCGGTGTAGTAATAAACAATAGTTATTAAAAGTTATCTAAAACAACTTCAACTACATACTGTGAAATATATTTGTGCTGTCACGCGCGTCTATGACGCGGGCGATTATACACTCGTGGAGGCGCGCGACTCGCAGGGCCTACTGAAATGACCGAGAGTCACGAGAAGTCCCACGCCACAGTGCGCACTTCGCTCATTTTACGGCCACGGCGCCGCAGCTCAAGGATTCACGTGGGGTGGGCTGGCAAAAATCCCACAGCGAACCCACAGCTGTGCGGAAATGACACAGTGCCGTCACGTCACGCGAGAGGGCACTGACTAGAGAAAGAAGAAGAAAAAAAAGCAGCGGAGAGAAACACGGACAACAGTTACCCGTGGACAAATCCACTGGATTTAAAGACGCGACCATGGCTGATGCCTCCTAACTTACTGCACACGGCTGCCCGGCATCGCAAAGGTGAGTTTGATTTCAGCCGCGCAGGTAGTTTAAACGCGCCGTGTTGCGGGAGACGGAGCGAAAACTCATCGGTGGATGTTTTTCTTGCCGCGTCACGCAAGAGGGAGAGTTGCGCACGGGGGAGGGAGGGGAAACACGAGAGAGAAGGGCAGGTCTCCGTATTTCTGCAAAACACATAAAGTGTACATTATTTCCTTAAGGCATATGCAGTCCACAGAAGGACCGCAGCAGGGAGCCGCTTGTCCGTCTGTCTCCCCGCTTGTACCGATCCGTGGGGTTTCCACTGGAAGAATGAGGAAGAGGAGCCGGTGGACGGGGGTCGGTACGGTGAAGCAGCGCCTCTCCGGTGCTCTGGCGAGACTTCACGGTGCAAGGCATGAAAAACAAATAGGAAAACAATTTCACAGAACTTCACCGTGGAGAAAATTCACTCAGGGAATGTAAAGTTTTACACACATCATAATTTTCTCACGCTTGCCATGACATCTATCATCAGTCGTGTGTTATGCTGACTTCACTGTCTTTCAGCAGGCCAAAGGCTTCCTCTTTTTAAAACAAACCATTATACAGAAAGATATGTTAGTGAGATATTCCTAAACTTGCATTCCCTGGACAGCTGCTGCCTATGACTGATAAGTGTAAAGATAAAGTGCAAAAGAAATGTATTAGATGTGTGATTATCAGATAATATCAGTAATCAGTCATGGGTCTGTTGTGTCTCTTCCCAGGATATGAGCTCCTCTGTGTGCATGGTTAATGCAGACGGACAAGTGCCTGATAAAAGTATGTAAATTCGATTCACACTAAATGCCCCTTTAGAACTTTCAATGAACAATAGTTTTCTCTGTATACTAAAATGCATTTCTTCACAATAAACAAAACAGACTTACCTTAGCATCAAATGGAGATGTTGCATTGAAAGTTTACTTGGTATTAGGATCACTGGTGATTACATGAATTTACAGAAATCACCTAAAACAGTAATCACCTGACAAAAAAATCAAGTTGGCAGTACTAAATTTCAGGTATAATCAAAAACATTTAGGAGAGGAAGAACATCAGGTGGAGTCATAAAGGAATGAAATTGCATTTGCAGTGTAAATGCTCACCTGTAAAATCAACCACTGCCTTAACTTTTAAAGTCACCATGAAATCAAAATTGACAAATTTTGTAATATTTGTAGTGCTTACTATAAATTTATCTTTGCACATCATATTTTTTTTGTAAATTCAAGTGCCCGATAAAGATAAAAATGTAAATGGAGATGCATGTTACTACCAGCTGTAAATGTTCATCTTTCTCAGCTGATAATTTGCGATAAATCACTTGAGACAGATCTTAAAACCAGGTGTAAACAAGGCAAGTTTTCTGTAAACAAGTATCCTGTAACCTCATTAAAGTTGTGCAGAATTGTGTGAGATGATGTCTATCAGCATTTCTCAGCATTCTTGAATAGTTATGAACACTTGGGTTTTTCTTCAGAAGTTAAAGTCGAGAAAGATGCAGAGGACATTATTGAAAACTCAGAGGGAAAGATGGAGAGCTTCATTAAGCGCATTACAAAACGTTTAGCAACACACGCAGGCCCTGAGGTGGAACGGTCCACTAGCGGGAAGAGGGTCAAGGTGACAACACAGGTAAGATGAAAAGGAACATCTGTTACAATCACAACTTCAGTTCTTCTACAGATTAAACATTGTATTTGGGATAGAATTTGTCAAGAGTTGTCTGGTCTGATATTTCTTTTGGTGCAAACTATTAACAGCAAAATTTCCCACTTACTTTCCAGGCAGGAGAACATCCTGACGGCAGTTCAGATGATGGAAGCAGGTCATGCTCTCACGGCCACAGATTATCTCCTCAGGAGCAGATTTCCATCTCTTCATACAGGAAACCACTCTACAGCATCACGCATCGTATTTCTGAGCGTAAAGCTGCATCCAATCTGGACCAGCACGGAGCTCACAATGGAGTCAGAGCAAGCCATAATGGGGTCCAGTTCCAAAAACTGGGCAATTCTAGAAAGCATCACATGTTTAAGGCCTCGCCTACTGTGGGGATCACGGGTTCTCCTGCTGCCTTGGATTCTCACCTCTACCCGCTCATCGAGAAGATGTTCTTCCTCCTCAACACACTGAATTCCAGTATGACCCAGCTGCACAGTAAGGTGGACTTGCTCTCGTTGGAAGTGACGCGCATTAAAAAGCAGATGAAGCCCTCTGAGATGGTCATGGAATTTCAACCTCCTCCTGAATACCAGTTGACTAGTGATGAGCTCACCCAGCTGATGGAGCAAACGTCCACTGCGGGCGAGCTTGGCTGCAGACTCCTCGTTCAACTGTTCCCAGAACTTTTCACAGCAAAGGAATGCATGCACAGCTGCAGCACATGCAGCATTACAACTAAACGGACATTAGATTCATTGCACCTTCAGTTAATACGTAACTATGTGGAAGTCTGCTACCCGCAGGTAAAAAATGAAAATGTCTGGCAGACGGAGTGCTTGCTGCAGATCAATGATTTCTTGAATCGTTTCTGGGCTCAGAAGGACATGGAGAGTGGTCAGATGTGTGACAAACAGGCTCCGATGGTTGTTGGGTTTGACATGGAACCGAATCACACTTTCCATTTTATCAGTGAAGATGCCCAGGACGAGAGTTTTTCCCTCAACTCTGGAGAGAACAATGATGTTCATCCTAATAATGCCAGCTCAGATATAGCGTTCGACCCCCATGAGGCTGCTGGTGACGACTCTGAAGACTTGACTTCCCCAGAGGAGCTTGTCGTTTTTTTGTTGAACAGACTCTTCCCAGAGGTGTTTGAGGAGGGCAAGTTGCCAGAGGGCCACAACAGCATTGGACAGTTGATCATTGACTCGGACAGACTGGAAATTATACGAAAATACATGGAGGCCAATTTTCCTGATATCCCAGAGGAAACCTGGCTGCAGTTGTGTGTACAACGAATGGAGGAAGCACTGGAGAACTCTTCAGTAAATGTCAGTGGTCGTGACACCCGAGAGATGTATGATACCACCCGTCTCCCTGATAACATCTCCATTGTTAAGATCGGTGACCTGTGTGATTATGAGAAACCAAATCGCAGGTCTAAAAAATCATGGCTCGAGCCTGTGGATTTCGATAAACTACAGATCCCTCCTCCAGACTTTGTTGTTCCACAGGAGTATTTACTTACTAAGGAACAGCTAAAATGCAACTACGAATGCAGTTTATCAATTGGGAACTTTGCATCTCGTCTCCTGGTTCTCATGTTCCCTGAGCTCTTCACTTTCGAGAATGCGCGAAAATACTACAACTGCAGCGGATCTCTAGGAAAGAAGCAGCTGGATCCTATACGAATCAATCTCATCCGACATTACGTCCAGCTACTCTACCCACAAGCCAAGAACGACCGTGTGTGGACTCTTGAGTTTGTCGGCAAACTTGATGAGCGTTGCAGGCGACGGGATACTGACCAACGACGTTCATACCAGCAACAACGGAAGGCCTGTTCGCCTGACCAAGAGCCTGACCCAAAAGACTCTCTGCTAACTGCTGGCCAAATCAATGTTCTCACTTCAGATCGTGTGAAAGAGGACTCTGAAGTCCTGTCTTCACCCCTGGAGAAAAGCAGCAAAGATTTCTGCAAGATTCCTCTGGAGGACCTCTCGGTGTCTACCCCAGACTTCCCAGTGCCTTCTGACTACCTGCTCACGGATGCTGAAGTGAGGGAGATTGTCCAACAGAGTCTGTCTGTGGGAAATTTTGCTGCCCGCCTTCTCGTTCGTCTTTTCCCAGAGCTTTTCACGCAGGACAATTTACGGCTGCAGTACAACCACTCTGGGGCCTGCAACAAGAAACAGCTGGACCCTGTGCGCCTCCGACTTATTCGTCATTACGTGGAGGCCGTCTACCCTGTTGACAAAATGGAGGAGGTGTGGCACTATGAATGCGTGCCAAGCATTGACGAGCGCTGCAGGCGCCCCAATCGCAAGAAATGTGACATTCTAAAGAAGGCAAAGAGATCAAACAACACTGTGACTTATTCTTAATCAACGTTCCTGCAAAGTGCAGACCTGTTTTCCTATATTTTACACAACATACCTGTTATTTGCACAAGTCCATAAGCTGAAGCATATTGAAACTTGTCCTTGTTTAAGGTCCAGTTCATGTCCATAGCCTTTAAACAGGATGGGATAGTAGGTGACAGCAAAGTTTGTGATTGAAGCCACTATCACTTGACAGATATTAGTGTTACTATTTATATGCCAAAATATTATTGATGTTATTCTAATGATTAATAGATAAGCTAAAGTTAGCCTTAAATCAACTTAAATGTAAACATTTAGTACTTTAAAAATAATAGGTCACTTTAGTTTGGGGTGAGGGTAGAGAAGATGCATATATATATATATATATATATAAAGAAGATACAGTATATATATTGTTTTAAGTTGTAGCAATGTTGCAGCACTGGCTTTTTCTAATTATCAACATATTGAAGTATGTCTTGCCTTACAAGAAGTCAAACTTACTCATCTGTACTAAACTATAGCACCAGGTTATATGTTATATATTTTTAAATAAAAATTCACTTCCTAGCTGAGATGGGTTTCATGATCCTTTTTATTATAATTCATATACACAAGTGAGGGTCAGAGGAAACCATACAAAACCTAAGGTAGGACAGATCATTTGCATTTTTGATCAAATTTGTTTTCTTTGCATTATAAAGAAGAAAAAAGAAAGAAATTCAGTTTTGGAACCTGTATTTGTTTGGATTTGGACTCACTTTTGAATCATTTGCGCGGTGCAAAACATTTTTTTTTAAGTCTGGCTTAATATATATATAGATATATTAACATTGTATGCAGAGGCACTCTGTACCTTTCCTGAAAAAAAACTGCTCACTGAAAATCTACCAATCATAAAGTATAAGCTAAATAAGCTTTGAACAGGGGATCAGAAATCCTGAAAACATTTGATATCACAAACACTGTCTGATCTACTGTATCTCACAATGGTATTTTTGTGAATCTAGTATATACTAAATAATAATAATAAAAAAATGCATATAACCTAAACCACCTCTAAATAATTGGATGTATTTGTGTTCCATTTGTGACCTGTAAAGTTCATTAAATCCATCTTCAAGTAGTATGAAAGTTATGAGAACGACTGTCAAGTGAACAGATGTGAGAAAGTCCGTCAGTTTTTGTTGTGCAGAGAAAACACCTCATTGAATTCGCAATCTGCAGTTTCAGAATTAAACGGCTGGAGAGTGGAATATGAAATACCACTTTTGTCACAGTTTCTGACCTTTCACCTATTAAACATCATAGAATTGGTCTTCACTGCTTGTACACATCCTTTCTGGGAAGTTGTAGGTGTTTCCAGCTTCTTAGAACGACTCTCTGCTTTTCTGTATCTTTTGTCTCTCCAACCACCTTTTTTAAGATCACTCTTTTCAGCAAGACTGTGTCCATTTCCTTGTCCTCATTTAGAATCAGATCCAGTGTATCCCCCACTTTAACCTGTAGGAGGCAGCAGACCATAGACTGTTATATTAATAAGGTGCCATTTCTGCTTATACTAATCACTACTCAGATAAATTTAGTCAAGCCAGTAACGGGAAGTCTACCACAAGCAGGGTAAGTTTCTTTATTGCATCCATAATTAAAGCCAGTGTTACATATTTATAAGGAAAGTTCTTCTGATTATACCACTAGAGGGCGCTGACTCACCATTTTGCTCTTTTTTGAGAGCTTTTGACCATTCAGTCTCAATTTGAGGCTATAAAAAGCATCCTCCACTCCACTGTAAAAGAGTACATGATACATGTATGTTAGTCACTACCACTGGCCAAAACACCACACACTAAAAGGACAGAAAAAAATAAAAGAGCAATATGAGCAAAGAATGTATACACAACTCATCCATTCTCTGAAGGGGTTCTATGAGGTAAAACAAGGAGTTGTCCTAAATAACAGACGGCTGATCTGTTCGAAACTGTTACAGTCAAAGTTATTAGAGCTAAATATAGATGAAACTACATCATCACATCTGCAATTGGAACTGAAAACACTACTTTGCAACTGAGACCGAATTAATCTCAGAACATGATGAGCGGTATTTCTGGCTTACTGTCGTGCAATGTCCAATCCAGCCTTCAAAAGCAGATCGAAACGTAGAGACGGGACAGTTTTTTCATGGTCTTTGTAGTCTTTTGGCAGGCCTGGGTCATCTTGAAGCTCGTCCTCATAATCACTAGCCTCTGCACCCTGCTGCTCCTCCACCTCCTCCTCCTCCTCCTGCTGCACTACTTTCTGCTTCCCTTTCTTTCTCGTGCTCTTGAGCCGTGTTTGATGGAGCAACCAGCTTTGCCGAGCATCCCACGATTTTGGCCACATGGCTGTCCGGTGCGTCTGGGGAGTGGCTGAACCCCACAGCTGACGAGCATGTAAAGTCTGTGGGCACCACATGATGAGGCCAGAGCCATTGCACGGTGAGAGCAGCTGCAGCGAGTTCAGTCTGCCCAGCTGCCGCAGAGCCAGTGCCTGCACTGACAGACTCTGCATACTGTCACACTAAACACAGACACAAGGGGAAAGGATCAACAGACCTGTACATAAATATATTGTCGATTTTGTATATTGTGAATGTTTTATATACTTATTTCTATTCACTTATTTTACTTTTATTCTTGTTATTCACGGCTTGTTGCTGTGCTTCTGTCACCAAGACAAATTCATTGTATGTAAGCATACTTGGCAATAAAGCTCATTCTGATTCTGATTAATTAAACATTTTAAATTAACATTTTGTCAGAACCTCTAGTAAACATTGTTATTTTTTTGAGTTGTCACTCTGTTCAGAATCGTGGGAGAATCGGGATCTCTGTTTGAAATAACAACAACAACAACAAATTATAAAATCATGATTCTCAATTATCCAGAACTGCAATTCTAGGTAACATTTACATTCGTCAAAGTCACCAAACTTTGCCTAGATTCAGCTCTAAATACTTTGAATATATGTATGTGTGAATATACACACACACACACACACACACATATAGACATATAGGCAATAAATACATTGCATAAGTAATGCTGATATTTTTTAAGTTAAAATCCATAAGTTGTGTGTCTATTTTGTACAAGTTCGTAGTAGTTTGTAATGTATTTAACATCATGTATAGCAATACAGATCTCAGCTGAATTTCTACATCTACACCCACATTTTGGTAAATGGTTTTGAAAGGCATGCAGCTGACAGCACTGACAACTATTGGCATGGCTTTCAAATCATCTAAACTTCATACAATGCCATGGATTTGTCCGTACATAAATATATAACTAATTTGAAGTGCGAACCGAAATGATATTTAGTATACAGACACAGACATAAGGAATAGCGTGATACAATTTGTAAAGATCTGACTCATTTTCATGACAGCATAATTAGAATTTGCATATTATTAGACAGCAACTCATAATGTGCTGCTTCCCCACACCACTGCTCAGGCCAATACTTAAGGATACGTCACCATCAACAAATGCATAAACAAAATGTTTGTGTTAAACAACGACATAAAGACGAATTTTACCTATTTGAGTTGAGAGATCTCCCCTTGACTCTCTAATCTCGACCAACGAGCACAGTAAAAACAAACCAGTAGTCGCTGCTGCTGTAGTAGTGCACTTATTACAGCGCCATCTAGAGGCGGGATGAATTGTTATTCACAATGCAGAATAATAGGTCTAATGCACACACAGGGTTATATCATAAAGTTATTTGTGCATTAGCTAATAAGCATTAGTAGTAGTATTATTTTTTCTTCAGAATTTACAGAATTCTCTGTGCACTATTTGTACTATCTATGCATGCCGTTCTACTGTATTCTCCATTACATTTATAGAAGACTAAACTCCCGCCCAGTCAAACGCTCTTGTTCTCTGGATTGGTGGCTGGCGGTGAACATCTGGGGGCCAGCGGCTTTAAAACATCATGTGAGCCTCTGCTCCTGTCAAAACTCTCACCTTAAGGCGGAATACACACAAGAACGGACACTTCTGCATCGATCTTCATCAACATGACATTCTTTATTTGCATTGTTGTCTTTTGCCTGTCTGTATTTTTAATGGAGGCGCAGGGCACGTATGGCCCTTACGCACGGAACCAGAACCAGCTGTACCCGCACCGGCAGAGATCTCACCTCCCCCCCAATATTCCTGGACACGGCAACTCCATCAACTTTGGAAGTAATCATTTTATTTCTGTTATTTGTAATTTTTTATAATAATAATTATTATTATTATTATTAATATTACCGGTAGCCTATTATAAAAAAAAACAAGCGAAATCTATGCTTGTAATTATTTTCAAGCCTTGATTTAAATTTATGTTTAAAATATAAGCACTGAGTATTATTTTAAAATAAAAAAACTAGTGAGTGAAATTCTTTAGGTACTTGAGAAACAATATATATATATATATATATTTTTTGTAAATTGCATTAGTGTTCTTCAGGAACAAAAAGTAACCTACTGTAGTCCCTTGAAATTATATAATACACTGGACATTCCATTTTACAGTAGGCCTATTATTAAAGTTTTCTTTGTCAGCAAGTGCTTAATGAAGGATTAGAGACCTTTAGAATTCTAAAACCATGAGCAGTGGTTCTATTGACTATTTTACAGGAAAAAAAATGAAATATCAACCCTTACAAAAAATATGTTTATTCAATTGTACTGTTAGTACACTAAGAAAATATACATTCAGTCTACTTTTTATGCACTTCTCATAAATATAGGCTACTTTATGTACTTCTCAGAAATATACTTAAAATTACACTTAAGTATACTTGACTTATACTGACAAATATATATTTAAAAGTATAATTATACTTGGCTTGTAGTTATGTTTGCCTAGTTATGCCTATTAATACTTTTTTTCACATAGTTTTAAATACATTTGAAAATATTGATCAATAAAGAAAACCGATATGTTGAGTATGTACATTTTTGTGTAGTCCACTGGTAGTGTACTTTAAACTTTACTTCAAACTTACAGTACAGGTAAAGGTATATTTCAAGTATCCACTTTCACTTAAAGTTCACTTAAAGTAATCTTACAAGTACAGTACTTGCAAGTTCACTTAAGGTAAACTTACAAGTATACTTGCATAAATAAAACTATTAAAGTTTACTGAGAGTATACTTCAGTGTACTTTCATAAACTAAAAAAAGTGCTACAAGTATTTAACTAGTAAACTGTGTAAGTTCACTTGTAGTATAGTTGCAGTACTCAAAGTTTACTACTGTTACACTTAAAGTATACTTAAAAGTATACTTTTATATACTATAAGTGGGCCAAGTACTGAAATAGTTACAAGTATGGTAGTCCATTAATATTAGTATATACTTACTACATAAAGTATGCTTAAAAATATCCTAAAATGAACTTGAAGTAGGCTATACTTATTTTTTATTATTTATAAGGGAAAACCACATTTCCTTGGTTTTTTTTGTTTTGTTTATTAAAAATCTTATTTATGTAGCCTATGTATTTTTATTTTTATTATTTCTCTCTCATATTTTCAAAATGTTAAGTTCTGGATTACAATCTACATGATTTATGTATATTTTCTACACATATGATATCAAAGTTGTACTACAAATACCCCTTTTTTCCTTGTGTCATACCTTTTACCTGAAATCATTAATCTAGTAATGTTATCAATTTCTGTCCCCTAAAAAAAAAAAAAAAAAAATTTGTTTTATATGAGAAGGTGCTACAGCATATTTCTCCTTCAGGTTGACAGGATATAGAACTACAGTCATTCACAGAGAACTTCTGAACAGACCACTGACTTTGCTCATGCTACTAACAACCAAAAAGTGTCTTCAAAACCCACATCAATATCATATTGCTTTAATGCATATCTCTCTCCCTCTCCTTCTCCTCTATTTTTCCTTTACATCTGTCTATGGATATATTTTTTCTCTATCTCTCCTCCTATGTATTTCTGTATATCTGTTTACTGTTCTCTCTTCTCTCTCTCTCTCTCTCTCTCTCTCTCTCTCTCTCTCTCTCTCTCTCTCTCTCTCTCTCTCTCTCTCTCTCTCTCTCTCTCTCTCTCTCTCTCTCTCTCTCTCTCTCTCTCTCTCTCTCTCTCTCTCTCTCTCTCTCTCTCTAACCAAACAAAGCTCATGGCTTTAATCACAGGTTTTACAGCTATCATCATCGCAACCCTCATCAACATCATCACCAGCGGCCGCCCTGGAAGGGTCCTCCCTTTATCCACCACCGTCCTGTCTTACCTGTCCAGCCCATCTCACCTGTCCAACCTGTCCGGACAGTAGTGCCCACTCTGCCCAGAATGCCAGTGGTGTTACCTGCCCCTACAGTGCCCATGCCACTCACCACGGTAGCCACCCTCCCCCCGCCACCTCCAACACAGACTGCAACCACTACAACCACCCCACAGCCGGTCAGTACCCCTCGTGGCACAACTGCTGCCCCTGCCGAACCTCCCACTGACCCAGGTAGACCAATCCCACCCCACCGGGTGCAGACGACCCGTCTGGTCCTCCTCAGTCCCTCTTAATATTTTTTCTCTTCTTTCTCTCTCTCTCTTCAAGGAGAATTCAAGAAAAAAAGAATGGTCATTTAGCTTTAAACAAGCAGGATTGTGGAATATTTCTATACACAAATAGCATTAATTAGGCTTTTTTTTCTTTCTTTTCTTTTTTTAAACTAATTTAGCATTAGTAAAACTGGCGTCATTAAAGGCCTGTTCATACTAAGAAGGATAACTATAATGATAACCATTAGCGTCCACAACAATTCACAATAACACTCTTATGCGTTGCAATTATGTCGTCAGCTACTTTAAATGCTTAAGTCTTTAAAGCAGGATGGATTCTGATTGGCTGTCAATGTTTGTATCTTTCATCAACAATATCGTTCCTCTGTGTCATTATCATTATAGTTGTGGTGTGGTGTATTTAGAACGATTTTTAAAACTACATCTTTATCGCCTTAATGCTAATTGTGTATATTGTCCTCATATTCTGCTTTGTACAATTTTAACTTTGTTTAGAACAAATGAGATTAACGGGATCAGTTTCTTTCCATTGTCCAGTCACGGTGCTGCATTGCTAACCGAGGAGCCTCTCTTATGTTTCATAAACAAACAACATTTTTACATATTAATCTCTTTCAGCATCACACTTTGCACTTTAAAACCCCCACCAACATTTTTAATGATAATAATGTGACACAAATGTTCAGTATGTAATGTATTATTTCTCTTTCACAGCTCCAGCAGAGCTTTGCAAGAGCCGTCCTCTAGACCTGGTTTTTATCATCGACAGTTCTCGTAGCGTCCGTCCTGCAGAGTTCGAGAAGGTCAAAATCTTCCTCTCTGAAATGGTCGACTCTCTAGATATCGGATCGGACGCCACACGAGTCGCCCTGGTCAACTACGCCAGCACCGTCAACATTGAGTTCCTCTTGAAAAAGTACTTTAGCAAGGCTGAGGTCAAGCAGGGCTTCTCACGTATCGATCCGCTCTCAACGGGAACCATGACTGGCCTGGCCATCAAAACCGCCATGGAGCAGGTTTTTACAGAGACTGCTGGGGCCCGGCCCCTAAAAAAGAACATCGGTAAAGTGGCCATTATTGTGACCGATGGGAGGCCGCAAGATAAAGTTGAAGAGGTGGCAGCAGCAGCAAGGGCTTCTGGGATTGAAATATACGCCGTTGGAGTGGACAGAGCAGAAATGCGGTCTCTTAAACTGATGGCCAGTCAGCCTCTTGATGACCATGTGTTCTATGTGGAAACATACGGCGTGATTGAGAAACTCACATCCAAGTTCAGGGAGACACTCTGTGGTAAGAGAATAAAGGGGGGAAAACAGCTCAGATTCAATTGGATCAAATTTAAATCTAGAATCATAAGGCAATCGAATTATAATATATATAAATATAATATATTTTTTAGGCAACTATATTTAATTAAAAATCAAAATGAAACGAATGCCGTACATCACTGACTCAACAATAATTCTTTTTAATGTTTTTATACATAATATTATAATATATAATATTTTTATTGAAGATTTTTGCTCATTCAGCTGATTTTGCAGGTTTCGACGCCTGTGCACTTGGGCACAACTGCGAACATATTTGCGTCAACAACAATGCTTCTTATTTCTGCAAGTGCAGAGAGGGATATGTTATCAACTCTGACAAGAAAACATGCTCTAAGCAGGCCAACGGTTTGTCATACAAATATGCATCAAATGATTTGAAAAATTTGATGCATAATATAAAGAATTTGATGCATAATGTAAAGAATTTGATGCATTCTAAAGAAATGCATCCAGATAATTATTGTGCATATAGAACATATTTTTGGCCAATATAAATATCAAAATCTGACATCAAATCATTTAAATAAGTATGGAGATATGATGTGTGCTCTGGAACATCTGTTTGTTTTTAAAATTCTCATTGCAGTAACGTTGTTTATATCAATTATGTAATTTATAAATTGAGGAGTGAAGGAAATATCTTCAGCAGTAAGTATACAGTAAAACATGTCTGTTTCTCTTTCAGAAGAGGCCAGAGGAGATCTGACCGAGAATGCCTGCATGTGTGAGGCTCAAATGGCCTTTCAGAGGAAGGTTCACACCAGCATACAGACCCTCACCAGCAGACATATCCTTTCAGATTAACACAGCATTTGTTTATCACCTATCCTATTTCAACCACTCAGTCTGATAAACGTCCTGTGTCCAGAGAGTAGCATTCTATATGCTATTTTTTGTAGCATTCACATAGTTATTAGAATTTTTGATTTATTGCATAGTGATTAGACATTTCATGATTTGTTTAGAATTTATTCCTCCTTGTTGTTTTCTGTCCAAAGATGGGCTTATTCAGGAAACGAACCCTGATTATCATGATGTGTGATGATGCGTTTTTCTTAACTGTTCTTACTGGATGACATCACAAACAGAGTGCAGCAGTTTGATCTCCGTCAAGCCTAGAGTGGAGAATGGGACCCAAAACAAAAATCTTTATTTAATCACTCATTGTAGCATTCCTCCCTTTGTTTGTTTAATCCGATAAATGTCTTGTTTCAAATTGCGCTTATTATAGATTTCATTATGTTCCGAGTATGATCTTTGAGTTATCAACATATATCATGTTGACACAAAGTGTTACCGGAAATTGTTTTGCAGAATAAATTTACTTTTATTTTGGAAACAAATAGTAAAAGTAAATACATATAAATGATGGTAATATGTAAAGTATATGCACATTATTTTATATTGTTCTTTATCTTGGATACTTGTACAAATACATATGAACAAATAAAATATACTTTGATGTCATTTTCTGTCATTTTCTATGATATCTTTATATTATATGATGGGTTTGTAATTGTATTTGTATGTACAGTCAGTATATTCAAATATTCTAATTGTATTGCATATTCAAATGCATGAGTGGATGGGAATATACATTAGTTGATGCATAACAGTTTTTTAAATAAACCTTAAAATCTAAAGCTATTTTTATTTTATTTATAAAGGTAAGTTAAGTGCATATTTTAGAGTCTTGCTGGTGTGACAGTAACTATAAAAGTACTGTAGCCAGGCCAAGTTTTTTTATTTTTTTATTACCACCTTACCTTTACTAGTCCCTGTAATTAATATGTTTGTATTGAACATGTTGAATACTACACATTAAACATTACTGAATAACTAGAAAAATTCTGTTTAAATAGCCTATACTTTGAGATGAAGTTTAGCAGGTCACACTGCAGGAAATGTCAACTTTTCAAAATGTCACTTTTCCGAAACCCATAATTATAACTACGCTTAGAATCTATTCAAATAATTTTATAATTAATTTGACAATAATTTACAATAATATTATCACAAACGAGAGTAATGGAAAAAGAATATGTACAATAATGCCATGAGTAGATAATGCAAAGAGAACTACAAATACCATGAACGCTACAATCATACAACACCATTTCCGGGTTTTGGTTACCTAGAAACCAAGCAAACCGTTTTTCAGCAGCGTACACGCATGATAAATACACAGAAAATTCAAATGCTTTTAATAACGGACTTATTATAAAGTTCCTTTAAATAAATACAGCGCTGAAATCACCCACAGTCATCGGGACCAAAAACCTAACATAGCATCCAAAAAACGCTCCATAAACGCTGTGGCAGGCTAGCAGGCTAAGCTAAAGCAAAGATGTTTATTTATCTCAGTAAGAAGGTAATTCTCCCTGATTGAGCGTGGATATATGTTGCAGATTAGCTGTCGGCATTTTCCAGTTACTTTTCTTAAAAAGGCGTTTCTTTGCTGCTGATAATGACAGTTGTTTCTGCATATACGACCTGTTTATCAGGGCTGTTGGTTTTGCTGTCTGTTGTGTCCTCAGATTGCGATTCCGAACAATACGGTGTTAAAGTGTGTGTCTTGGAACAAAGATCAGGGTTTCATCGCCTGTGGAGGAGAGGATGGCATGTTAAAAGTGCTCAAACTTGAGACTTACACAGGTGGGAACCTGGAGCTACCTGTAATATTTTTATATAGACGGACAAAATGGGAGCAACAGTTGTTTATTTATATATATTCAGCATATATGAATGCTTGAATGAAATCCATCGTTCAACCAATAATTAATAATTAAATTACGTTTATTTTTCCCAGATGATGCCAAAATGAAAGGCTTGGCGGCTCCCAGCAACCTCTCTATGAATCAGACACTGGAGGGCCACAGTGGTAAGAAAGAGGAGATGTGTGACAGACAGTTTGTTTGTGTGTGTGTGTGTGTGTGTGCTGACTCTAAGCTTTGATTTGCTTATGCAGGTGCAGTGCAGGTTGTGACGTGGAATGAACAGTATCAGAAACTGACCACCAGTGACCAGAACGGCCTCATCATTGTCTGGATGCTTTATAAAGGTGCACAGTCCTATAACCAAACATTAAAAAAGTATTATAATATTTAATTTATTTAAAAGTCTATCTTAAAGTTTATTAAAAAATGACAATTCTGTCACCATTTACTCACCCTCATGTTGTTCAAAACCTAAATGACTTTCTTTTTTGGAACATAAAAGAAGATATTTTGAGAAATGTTTTTTTTTGTTGTTATTGTTGTTCATACATTACAATGGAAGTCAGTGGTCACCAAAATTATTTGGTTACCAACATTCTTCAAAATATCTTATTTGTTTCAAAGAAAAAAGAAAGTTATACAGTTTTCAAACAACATGAGGGTGAGTAAATGATGACACATTTTTAAGTGAACAATTTCTGTAATAAATGCTGCCTTTAACTGGGACTTTGTGTGTCAACCAGGTTCATGGTATGAAGAAATGATTAATAACAGGAATAAATCTGTGGTGAGGAGCATGAGCTGGAACGCTGATGGTTTGAAGATCTGCATTGTGTATGAGGACGGAGCTGTGATCGTGGGCTCGGTGGATGGTGAGCACAGATTTACTCTCACTAATGGACTTTTTATTATAAATATATTTTATTTATTTTCATGTTTAAATTATTTTATTATTTTTAGAAGGCAACAAAGCCATCAAGATGTAGATGTTTAATGTTGTATCATATAGTTTTGAATTTTCATTCATGAACATTTTGTTTGTGTGATTATAAATGTGTGTGTTTGTCTGGTTATGTGTTTTTATAACTTTGTGATCTCACAGGGAACAGGATCTGGGGTAAAGAACTGAAGGGGACCCAGTTGGCACATGTGGCCTGGTCTCCAGACAGTAAGATCTTGCTGTTTGGGATGGCCAATGGAGAGATCCACATTTATGACAACCAGGGAAACTTCATTGTGAGTACGGAGAGCCTGGAAATACACAATATTTAAATACACGAAAAGGGATATTTCACCCAAAGATTAAAATTCTGTCATCATTTACTCACCCTCAAGTTGTTCCAAACCTGTATTGAAAGAAGATATTTTGAAGAATGTCAGTCACCAAACAGTTGATGGGCCCCATTGACTTCCATAGTATTTTTTTTTCTCCATACTATGAAAGTCAATGGGGCCCATCAACTGTTGGGTTACCCATATTCTTCAAAATAGGCTATCTTCTTTTGTGTTCAGCAGAAGAAAGAAATTCATACAGGTTTGGAACAACTTTTCAAACTTGAAATATTTATCCCTGGATCATTCTAAGCCCTGCATAAGCGGAATCATTGGTTATCTTGTTTTACGTTTCACACTGCTCATAATTTACCCAGGTTTAACAGTTAATCTTGGGTAATCATAAGATGCTGTTTTCTGATTGGACGAATGCAGCACTTGACCTGTTTACATAAAGTCTCTAGCATTGCGCATCCTCAAATTATACATTGCAGTCTGTAATATCGAGTTTTTGGACTAAAATAGGTAAGAATGAAACTGTCTCTTCTTTACTCCAATTTAATTTTTCCCCTCAAACACTGAAACTCTTTCCAAAGCATGTGAATATGAGGCACACAATTCACTGTCTCTTGCTTAGCATCTAGTGGTAACATTTTAACACCGCATCGTTTTACACGGCACAAGTTTGCAAAACCTGTAGTTAAAAGCAGGGTTTAGAATGACTATAAGCGCAGTCAGTGTGAAAAGCGCTTTAGTAAATCAGTGCCTTCTCAGTCACAAATTTCCTTTTTGTGTTTGTGTTTGTGTGTCTGTGTGTTCATGCCCAGATGAAGATGACCATGAGTAGTTTGGCGAATGTAACGGGTGCCCTCAGTATAGCAGGTATCCACTGGTACACGGGCACAGAGGGGTATCTGGAGCCAGACTGCCCCTGCCTGGCTGTTTGCTTTACTAACGGGCACTGCCAAGTGTTGCGGCATGAGAGTGATGACAGTGAGTTTGTGTATTTTTTAGTGACTCTTTATATCTCTTTGTGCATGCTGGGGTCATACATTCTAGTACATTTCTGAGTATGAATACGAAGAAGAAAGAAAATTGTAATTATTGATTGTGTGTAGGTCCTGTGATCATTGAGACGGGTATGTGGCATGTGGCCAGTATCCAGTGGAATCAGTGTGGCAGTGTTCTAGCTATAGCAGGATCACTAAGAAACAGCGGAGCAGAGAAAGACTTAAATGTTGTTCAGTTTTACGCACCATTTGGAGAGGTGAGTACAGATCTCACACATGTATTGTACAGAAAAACAGTATGAAAGTTCTACAAATATAATTAACCTGGTCATGCATACACTACTGTTCAAATGTTTGCGGTTGGTAAGATTTTTGTAATGTTTTTGAAAGTAATTTATGAAGGTCTTATGTCTATATTCCTGAATTAAGCTGAATTTTTAGCGTCCGTTTCTCAAGTTATCAGTGTCACATGATCCGAAATCATTCGAATACGCTGATTTGATGCTCCAGTAACATTTCTTATTATTATCAGTATTAAAATAGTTGTGCTGCTTAATATTTTTGAAACTGTTATAACTTTTTTCAGGATTATTTGATGACAAAGATGTTCAAAAGAACATAATTTATTCGAAATAATATATTTTTTATATATATATATATATCCTAAACCTTTTAATGGCAATGTTCCTGTTGATGCACTCATGTCTGATGTCACCATGTGTCTAGCACTTGCGGACTCTGAAGGTTCCGGGCAAGCAGATGACTGCTGTATCATGGGAAGGTGGAGGACTCCGAATTGGCCTGGCTGTAGATTCCTACATTTACTTTGCCAACATTCGGCCAGATTACAAAGTAATTTAGCTGTGAATAATGGCTATAAGACACAGTTTTGTAAAAAAAAAAAAACAGTTAGTGTCTCTGTCTGAGTTAATATCTTGCTCTGTCTCTATAGTGGGGTTACTGCTGTAACACGGTGGTGTATGCATACACACGGCCTGATAGGCTGGAGTACAGTGTGGTGTTCTGGGACACTAAGAATAATGAGAAGTTTGTAAAATATGTCAAGAGTCTCATGTCCATCACCACCTGTGGAGATTATTGCATCTTGGCAACCAAAGCGGATGACACACATCCACAGGTACTAAAACCGTGATCTGTTTAACAAAAAATATATTTTAATTTAGAATATTGTTTTAAATCAAACCATTTTTGATTTAGTGTGTTAACTAGTCATATCTGTGATTTGTGTTGCATCAAATGCTCTGATGTTTTTATCATTTCACAAACAGGAGGACACTGAGGCTGAGGCTGGATCAGCTATGGTAAAGACACCTACTTTACTTTACTATTTCATTACTAAGTAATTTCATTTATTAATAATACTAATAATTTACTACACTAATTCCAGTGTTAAAAGCTGTGAAAATGATACCATGTGCACTCTGATCATAGACAGTAGAAAGTTATATTCAGGAGAGAGTTAACAGTACTACATGACTTTAGCCATTTTCTCAAGACTCTGAGAAACCTGATCAAACATATAGATGTGATTACCGGCATATCATGATGTTTTGTGAAGAAAAGACAAAATGACTAAAAGCAGCTTCATTCAGCAGGCCATAGGACAGAGTCTACAATAGAAAGACATAATATTTGAATGTTGAATTTCATTAAATTAGACTTTGAGAAAGCTATTCTTAAGCATCAGATGCAACCGCTTTAACACAGGCATTTAATGAGCTGTTTCATCAAAACACCTCAAAGAATCGGTCGAGGAGGAGAAAGGTATTATGAACATCTGCAAAAGATGCCTATCAGATATTTCCTTGATGCTGTTTAGTTAAGTGTACCCATACGGTAAAGATGTCTGTCTGTCCTCTGTCCACAGTATGTTCTGGTGTTGTGTAACTCCATTGGAACCCCACAGGACTCCAAATATATTGACGTCGGTGAGTTAAGCAATTCGACATACTCACTAATTCTATTCATAAGAGATCATGCATAGTCATCCGGTCATTATTGCAAAATAAACTCTAAACTCCTGTCCAAGGTCATCAGGACTCTGAAGAAAATAAATATATAAATGCACATTTTTAATGTTATTTTATTTTGTGAAATGTAAGGGGCCGTTTACACAAAACAGTTTTACACGAAACAGGGGGGCGACGATACGAACATCATCACAAGTGGTTATAAGTATTACACAAATCAACACAATATAACATTTTGTCATCATGAAAAATTAACGGTTCCTTACAACAGACTCAAGGATGATATATGTTTTCGAAGCCTTTGTGTTCAAAGGTTTTGACATTTTCTTAAAGGAAGTAAAAAGACTTTATATCAGAGGAGAACATTCTAAAATTGGGATTACAGTGAATGTTTCTGGCTTTGTGAAGATGAGATTTACCCAGAAGACAAAGTAATAATACAGTATTATCAAGATTAACATCCATGAAATTCGGACAAAAAAAATGATAGATTATGTAATTTGTATCTATAAGCACGTGCGTTCGGCTCGAGTGCACTGTAGTAAAAGAATGCATAGGTGCGTAGTCTTTCTTTACAAAGTGACACCGCCAACTACTTGTCTGCCATGCGTAATACAGCGTTATTAGTTGTCTTCGCAGATCCCTGTGAATGGGGATCGTTTTGATAACGTTGTCATCTGTACAAAGAAAAAACTTTTCCGTTTTTAGCTCATCGTTGTCGTGTAAACGTACCCTAAGAGAACACAGTGTGGTATAAGAGATACAGCTACGGTTTCACTTTAGCGGCTGGCCATTGACTAATCAGAGAGATGTATAGATGTGCCTGAATAGTCTTATTAAGCTTAGGTTTGAGCTATATTTAACATATTTAATTCAGAACTGTTTCTTTGATGATAAGCAAGCTGACGGCTTGAGGTTGTAATGAATAACACCAACATACAGAGTGTGAAAGCTGTGGTGGGAATCCCGGCTCCTTTCCTCTCACTCTCACTGGCATCCCGCTAAATTCCTCCCCTGGTTGGGAGAGCAGATCTGTGGGATGGACAGTTCACCTTGGTTTCTCACCCTGGACAGATTCCAGAGCCTGAACAGCAGCACACAACAGAATCTGTAGTTACTCGTACAAAAAAAGAAAAAGAAAAATCCCTGCTAAATCCCAGTCTGAATATAGAAATTTGTGTAATTCTCAACAGCCTTCGAAATCACACACACACCTTTGACAATCAGCTTTGATGTATAGATGAAATATGTGAAATGAATTGCATTCTAGATGTTCTTTCCCAAATGTTTTTGTTCACTTTTCCACTGTCACAGACCCTCTGTACGTCACCATGACGAAGACTCACGTGATCACTGCATCTAAGGAGGTGTTTTACGTTTGGCAGTATCGTGTGGCTAAGAAACTCACTGCTCTTGAGATCAACCAGGTTACCAAAACAAGAAAGGAAGGTCGGGAGAGGTGAGGGTCAAAGGTCACCTGTAATAAAATAATAATAAAAAACACTACCTTTCAAAAGTTTGGGGTTGGTAAGATTTTTATAAAGACGTTTTTTAAATAAGTCTCTTATGCTCACCAAGGTTGCATTTATTTGAATAAAAAAATATTTTGAAATATTATTACAATTTTAAGTAATTGCTTTCAATTTGAATATCTTTAAAAATGTAATTTATTGCAAAGCTGAATTTACCGCAGACAGTCTTTAGTGTCACATGATCCTTCAGAAATCATTCTAATTTGCTTATTTGGTGCTCCAGAAATATTTCTTATTATTGTCAATGCTGAAAACTGTTGTGCTGCTTAATATTTTTGTGGATAAATTATTTGATGAATAGAAAGTTTAAAAGATGCAGCATGTATTTGAAACAGAAAACCTTTGTAACATTATAAATGCTGTCGATGAATATAATTATTCATTTATTTAAAAAATCTTACAGCAGGGAATATATATATATATATCAGGGAATTTGTATCAATCTGCTGCTGCTTCTTTTATCTTACAAAATGTGTTTTTCCTTGCCTCCCACTCAACATTAGCAGACACAAAAATAATGTGCCAAATATTAATCATAAATATCGACAAATCTAGCATTCACAAGTGAGGATACAGGATAGTTTAAAACTGCTTTTCAGCTCCGTCTCTTGTCACCAGCAGTCAGATAGAAAATCTATAGCACTGTCAAAATATCCCTATTTTGCATAACACGCGTATTAAATACAGTAGCTATTTTATTATCTGGTCAGTACAAAACGAGTTTAATTTTATTAACGATTTGATATTATTAACGCTTTGTCCCATCTCGGACTCAGCGACTGAATAAAAGTAACAGATCTTTGCAATATGTAAGCTTTCATCAGATGAAGCGGTGTTCCTTAATGCATACAGTCTGTGGGCAGAC